TAGTAAAGTTAAAGCTATAATGACTAACATGAGTGAGCAATTATCCTCATCACATTTTATGTTCTACAGAGCTGTAGCTGCATGTGTTGCCAGCTGGTTGCTGTAAGCATAGACTGTCTGTTACCCATGGACGATTCTGCCGTGCTGGTCTTCCTCTCGCTGTCACTGATGTCCTGGAGGTCTGCCAGCAGGTCTTTGCCCTCTGGTTTATCCTCCTTCGATGCTGCAGACAAAAAGTAGTGTGAGATACGCTGAAACATGAGTGATTGTACCAGGAAACAAAGAGCCTGAAGATCCGATCATCACTAAAGCGTTATGTCACGTAGAGAGCTAATAGCTCTAAGGTCTCTTCTTGAGATGCATGTCTAAACTGTCATGTTAAACAGAGTGTGCGTTAATAAAACAGCTTTGGGTCTATTTGTAAAGTAAGAATTAATGTTTTTAATAATGCACCAGGTAAGAGGAACAATTAACAGCATTAGTTCTCTGAGAATCTCATTCATATCCAAGCATAATTGATATTGTAACTGAAATATCTCTAACTGAATCGATATCGAACCAGGACCTTGTGAATCAGAATCTAATCGTTTCAGGAAATCAGTGGTAATTCTCAGCCGTACTAGAGACTGTGATGTGATGGTGAACTCACCGGCACTTTTCCGTGGTTCGCTGTGTTCAGATCTATCTCGGGGGACGCAGGTAGGACTGCGGCTGCGGTGACTTTGTTTTGGCTTCTCATATTCATCAGGGAGCATCCGGTGGTGAGACGGCACTGCGGACATTTAAGTCTCTTATTATCCACTGCTGTTATTTCACTTCATGATTCACAGGATTCATCACAGTCCTTAAATGAACACTTCCACATTTTGGGAAATACGCCTAATTACTTTCTTTCCCTGGGTTTCATGGGGGAAATCCATGTGATTCTTCTGTCCATGTGTTAACAACTGCACTGGAGTCAGGACGTATTTAGCCTAGTTTAGCATAAAGACTGACAGCAGAGGGAGACAGCAAGCCTGGCTAGGTCCAAAGTAGAAAAACACGTCTGTGGTCCAGCAGGTGTTTAGGTTCACTAACTGACCTTCTCGTCGAGCACCTCTTTCTTTGCGCCGCTCCTCGGCCCTCCTCTCTCGATCCTTGAGCTCCCGTTGCTCTTTCTGCTGTTCACGGAGCTTTCGGTCCCGTTCACGCTGGCGCTCCAGCTGCTCCAGCCGGTCCCTGTGGTCCAAAAAAAACCCAGGAGAATCCACTCGAGGTCTGTTCAGACAACCAAAAGCCCAGTGTTGTCAATGTTTGCTGGATTTTTGGATTGGGTTGATAAAGTCTTATTCAGAGATACAGATACTTTATTGCTGGGATTGGAATTGCTCTGTTTCCTTCACAGCTGTACTGAATGATTAACACATTTCCATAACTGCTGATATTCAATATATACTGATTCCACTGAAGTTTTAATCAACTGTTTCAAAATTAAACACATCTCTGTCTAAACTAACATGAGATCATCTATTCTGTGGTTCCTCTCTAGAGTCAATGCTCACCTCTCTCTGCGTGAATGAGCTCTGGCCTGTTCCCTTCGTTTCTGCCTCTCCCAGTCTCGCCGGGCTTTGTCTTCTTCCCACTGACGCTTCCTGCGATCACTCTCTCGCTCTTTTTCTTTGTCTTTGGGTCGCGCATGTTTCCCTGCTGAAGAAGCATCAAACCATAAGTGGAACCAGACTCACGAAACAGTTCCAAACGTGTTGGTTTCAGCAGTAAAACATATGTTTGTGTTTATGTAATTAAACAGGTCTCGAATACCTCCTTCATCAGAGTGACTACGATGACGTCTTTTATCTTTTCTCTTCTCCTCCTTTCTGTGGTGAGATTTGTCTTTCCTCGCTATCTGCTGTGGAGGCTTGATTGCTAGTGATTCATCTTCCTCTCCTCTGAGGAAATGTAAATACAATACTGTGAGACTCTAAACAGCCACTGGCACTGGGTTGTATATCATTTTTAAACTATGAAAAAACCTAAAATATGACATACACACACCATAAAAAAACACTTTCCTGACTTTCGCAGTCAGCATCAACATATTTACCTATGTTTGTTCCCTACAATTCCAAGTACCTGTCCTCTGTTGAGTCTTCCCGTGTGTACGGGGAATTACGAATTGTTATTTCCATTCTTTGATCCCGTAGTTCTCCTTCCTCCGGAGTGTCTCGTTTGGATTCCCGATCATCCGCCTGTGGAACAAGGCCCTGTGTGAACTGTGCAAGACAAAAAGAGCAGAATTTGAAGTCTGAGCTGGAGACAAGTCATTAAAATGTCATCAGATAGAGATTAAGGAAGTTAATACAAATACCAGAACATTTGGAAAATATCTACAGGTACTTGCAGCCTTTTTTTTTTTTAATTAAAAAAACACATTTCTTGCAAAAAAAATTAAACATCAAAAAATAATATAATGCTTCTACCCAAAGTGTGACAGGAGACTGCCATTATGTTAAAGCACAAAATAATGAATAACAAAAGGCAACAAAAATGTCTGTAGATACTGCAATTATTTGTAGATATTACAAATTTATATGTTTTTAATCCTAAATTATGCTATTTGTAATGAAAAATATTTGCTATTACTTTTAACACTGTATCAACATGTAGGGGTCATATGGTTCTTACGTTAACTTTAAAATACTTTACATTTTTCTGGCGCTTGGGATCTGTTCTCTCTTCTAATTCTCTTCTGCGTTTTTTCTCAAGTAAGATTTCGTCCAGAGTTTTTACTTTCCAGGTCTCCTTTTCGTCCCCCATCAGCATCCACTCTGCACCGCCTGTTCCATATCACACACACACACAAATATTCATTACATGTTGGTTCAGGTCAATTGCATTTATATCATGAAGACTGAGGCTCATCTAGAACAAAATGAAGCAATATAGTTATGACACAGAAGAACCAACTACTTGTCAGTCATTGTTTGTTTTTGTTTCAACCTAAACCTGCTGTACCTAAATTTCTCTTGCAAAATAGATCTAGATCTCAATTAGTTTAACTAATGCAATAAAAGGTTAAATGTGGTGTTTTCTATTTAGCATGCATTTATTTTAAAACCACTGGTAATTCATATTATTGGCAGATTACAGTTTGCCACCCTGTCACTGTATGTTTAAAAATCAAACAGCTTCCTTGGCCTGTACCGGAAATATGAACTCTTTGAAGAACTTCAAATCAAAATGTGAGATTTAAAGACCTTACTGTAAATCAGCAGTTATTTAATTTCTGTCACACGGTGACATAAAATCACCAAAAACAGTTGGGATTCACTCTCAGTTCGGCTAACACACAGTCCAGCAAACACCAACGATTTTAATAAAACGTCAACTTTAATTACCAAATTATACGCATCTTATTCCCACTGTTTCACAAGTGCATTGTACTGACCAACTCCCTACACATTTACCAACAATTACGGATGACTCTACGACAAATTTACCATTTCAAAACATAAGAAGTTGACTCGGGTTATTTTATTTTGAGTGAAATTTGGCTTCAGACGGTTATCTGTGTTTAGCTTCAGTTTACTCTTCGATGCATCACGTTACAGTGTGTAGCTTAGCTCACAGGCCAGTCAGGGAGACGTAAAAAATCCGCTAACGTTATAGTTGTTTCTCAATAGACCGATGGGTGAACTGTTAAGTAGCAGCATGTGCCTGCATTTTAAGTGAAATGGTACTGAATTACTTCTAAAACAGCTGTGTGTTGTGATACACGCGTGATGCTAACACATTAGCTAGCTAACGGTAGCTAGCTTAAACTAGCAAGGGCGACCGTTGCTAAACAACTCCTGCAGCTAACTACAAGATATTTAAAGAAATAGTTAGAACAGCCGGTAGAGGTATAAACTAGAGAACCTATGGCTGTGTCCGTAACTGTCCGTAAAACCCTAGTTATAGCAAACAATGACGTTATTCAGTGAGCGGTTGAAACAGTTAAACAAACCTGAAATATGCGCAGCGGTATTATGGCACACCGGAAGTCTCAAGACGTTGGTAACGTTTGTAAAACTTCCGATGTGAAACAATAAGTTCCTCGAATAAGATAAGACCAAATAAAAGAAAAGAAAAGAAAAGAAAAGAAAAGAAAAGAAAAATAAAAACCTTCTCCAATCATGTGGTGAACAATCAAAGCATTTTGTAGCCATTCAAAGACATTATTGATTGATTGATTTAAAAACGATTTAAGTATGTTTAATGTATCAGGAGACATTTAGCTACCCACTTTATTTGCAGTCAACTTGTGTCTTGTCTCAATGTCACAATCCTTTTTTTTTCTTGGGGGGGCTTTACACTAACTCCCTAAATCCCAAGATATCCTAGGCTTTGGTCTTTGATCATTTCTCATCTTACATGGATACCCAGCTCTGTTTCCATGGAGATGTTGGATAAGGGTTCTGCAGTATTCCACAGGATATCTGTCTGCTACTTGGAATATTAATGTATCATTCTCAGGCGTATATTACATTTGCTATTTGCTTTCTTCTGAAAATGCCAGACCCCTCTGCATTTTCAGTGTCTACCTGTCCATGAGGAGGCAGCAGTGTCCAATGATGTTAAGCCATGAACTCCACTTGGCCTTTCAGAGTTAGCACAGTGTAGCAAAAACCAGATAAGCCCCTAGCGCTGGTGGAAAACATAACATGTAAACTACAACAATAATATTTGATGTGTATCACAGACAGTTAAAATCAAGTGAAACAAAAGTCAATTCAACTCTTTGTTCTCAGTGTGCAAATTTAAACACACAGAAACCACAAGGAATCTGACAGTTTCTCTGTTTAAAATATCCTGAATATGACATTTCCAGATCAGTGAGTCTTCAGCTCATGATATACTAGTGTATTCATGGTAATAAAATGAGTGAGTAGCTGAGATTGTTGGATTTCTTTACATGTAAAACACAAGAGGGCACTGTTACTCCAGCTGAAACATGTTTATCTTCCTCAGTACAGACACAGAAGTGTTTGAAAGGACAGAGTGATGTTGTATTCGACCAAATCACCTGTTAATGCAGATGAGGGAGTTTCACGAAATCTACATCACTAAGCATTTTGTGCTTTGCAGTCCAGTATCTGCACAGGATGTGATGAAACCGGAGACTAACTACAGCACACAGAGTTTGAATTGCCCGTTATCACTGAGCTGGAGTCATATAAGGAGGTGAAAGACAACAGTTGGATTCCAACCACTGAATTTATGACAGGCTGACCTCTGTGAACACATGAACTATGGCCGATGTCTCAGGAGGAATGGCTCTGTCAGTCTCAGTCGAGGCTTTAAAAGTGCAGGAGAGCAGAGCTTTATGGGCAGGTTGTTGACTGTTTCACACTCAGGTGAGTACAAACTCAGTTTATTTGAACATGAGGATATAATATCAACCAATCACTGCCTTTTGAATCTGATTATTTCAGTCGTGTGATCTGATTAAACAAAATAAATCCTTGAGTGACAAGATTCATCTGCATCAGAACTCATTTTAAATGTCATGTGTGTGAAACACATATAATCACACGTTGATTAAAGTGTGTTTTTTATTGAGTCTAAACTGATCAGACTGCAACTTTAATTCTCCTCATAACTAAACACAATGATTAAAACCCTTTCCTCCTCACTGTGTCAGAGTGTGTGTGTCCAGGCTGAGCAGTGGAGCAGTGATTGAACAGTGATCCCAGGAATGGAGCCCAACAATGCCGGCAGTGTGCAGTATGATCGCTGGAACGAGAGCAACATCAACATGAACGTGGAGGCGTCACAGTCGACTATGATGAGGTGAAACATAAAGATCCAAAGACCGAATATAAAGGTTTAATATTACTGAGAATTTGCTGGTACTATTTAAGAGCAAACCTACGGAGATGTAGGAAGAAGTGGATGATCTACAAACCAGATGCTAGGATGTATGTAAATGGATGTTTGAGTTGGATGGAGTTAATAAAACTAAATTTCTTGTCACAAAGTATAATATAATAATTTGAACCTGTTATCAGTTGAGTGGAAAAACTTTATAGTCAAACTAAAGTCCAACAACAGCTGTGTCACTCTTTGACTCCTTTTCTCCAACGTTCACAGGCTCCACAACAGACTGTGTGTCGGCAGGACTGGAATAATAGTGAAGACAGCAGGAGCTCTGGCTGCTCTGGTGTCCATCTACATCATAGGATATGCCACAGGATACTACGTCCACAGGTGCTGATGGTGGAGTCCAGCCAGGGAAGAACTGCGGCATGTTGATGATGAAGCATTTCTATGCTTTTTAGATTTTTATGCTTTGCTTTTTATCCTGAAATCAATCCGCTCTGTCTTGTGTGATTCATGCACAACTTTGCAAGTAAAACCTCATCAATTCAGCCAATTCAGTGTCTTTCATTAACCTCATATCAAATGTTTTAATACAGGGAAACTGAAAGTTATGTAAAAGTTTATTTTTGTAATCTCCACGCTGACAAAGACCTGTCGTTTTAATAAAAGTTGCAACCATACATCAACAGATAGTCGACTGAATTTCAAATTGCAGTATCGAATTGTGTTTTTTGCCAAGTACAGGAAATATGTTATAATATGTTTATATCTTATAGTTGAATTGCATTCAGGGGATGTGATGTAATATCTGCTTTTCAGTGTCAGTACAGTGACAGCAGCAGTAACAGTTGAGAGGAGGCTGGAGCTGGCGTCAACATGCTGCCGTCTCTTGAGGGTCATTAGTGTCATTCAGCTTTTGTCTTACTGGAGGAGCAACACTGATTTCATTATATTTATTTATTAGACTCCTGATTTACTTTCCCACCTTGTGTGACTAATACGTAAAAGTCTTTATTTTCTTTCAAATAAGTTATTGGTTGGTAAAGCAGCAGAGATGCTGATAGGTAACAGAGGGATGCTGCTGCAGGCTGAATGAAGTCTTGGTTAAGATAGACCCACCAGATGTTTTGAGCTGGTTTAGGACGTGTGCAGCGTTGGCTGATTTTGCAGTCAGTTAGTGAATGACTGAGTTGTTCCAATGTCATTTTGTTGGACACTGATCTTAAAGCAACATTCAACCACTGACACAAATCCTCACAGGAGAGTCATTCGTAAGTTGTTTTTTTATGAATGTATGATATAAATCTCATAAATCTCATAAATCTCAGTTTGGTTATCAGGTGATATATCAGTTTGAATAGCGTCTGTACGCCCGGCTTCTCTGCTGCACAGTTTCATTTACAACTCCTCACCAAGAACTGGGTCGTTATTTCGAGCACGTACAACCTCTGTGGCTGAAGACAGGAAACAGCACCACCTACAGCATCTTAGGCTTCATGAACATGAAATCAAGGCCGCCACTGTTGCAGAAACACCACAGCAACGAGTGTTTAACATTTAATATAAAAACAAGTTTTTACAACAAAACAAACTGAAGAATTGATTCTGAATTGTTGACATGGACTCACTCACTTCTGGATTTCAAATAAATCTAACTCTTGATTTCACACACTTTGTTTTATTTGACGTATTTCATTCTGTGGCAGACGTGGTCCAGATGTTGATCTCAGAGGAGAAGTTGTGGTTGTTACAACTCTTTTTCTCATTAAATATGCTATTGATAATCCTGCACACTGCTCTTACTCAGCATCAAGATTTATTGATCATCCTGAGAAGTATTTTAATTTTAAAATCTCTCATTTTTATCTGCCACATGACATTTGGACACATGGAGCTGGATGTTCAGATCAGGAAATGATTGATGTTATTGTCAATATAGAGCTTGATGTTTGTCCTCTGGGTTTTTTCCTAAAGTATAGCTAATCTAATAACATTACTTAAATGTTATTTTTAATAAACTTTTGACCTCTCAAGACAGTTCCTCTTCTCTGTGCACCTTGAAAGTAGGTAAAGCCAGAAATCCTTATTCTGCTACAACTGCTGGACACATTTCCATGAAATCTGAAATGGATATTTATTCATTCTCAGAGGATGAATCCAAAAATGTTTGGTGATCTGTGAGACTCCACCATCAGAAAAAAATGTCAGCTATCCACACCAGATGAGACGAGTCCTAATTCTTTACTAACACCAACACGGTACAGTAAGTTCCAACAGTACATATTAATCTTTATAGTTGTGTTAATGGTCTTGTTGGTCAGTCAGTGCCCTGCTGGCACTGTGCTGATTAATTGCACAAATAAGATTTAAGACTGAATGATCTAGATTATCAGAGTCAGCACATCTGACGGAGGTGCTGTCCTCATGCCATGTCACGTTTAAATGTCTGCAGACACGTTCAACTCCTGAACTTCAAAAACAGATCTTTGGTCGTCCATCTGATCTGCACAGTGCAATCAGCGGAGCATGTAAACATCCAATATCAAACATCTATATTAAACCATCAAACATAAAAATCTCTGGCTACATGAAGACAGTGAAGCACACGAGAAACGCTGACATGCATATCACTTAGGTCGATGAGTTCAGTTTAATTTTTGTCATCATCAGCTCCTCTGTATCCGGCCCAAATCCCTATGAGAGCATATAAATTGGAAGAACCTCTTATCTGAACACAATTACGACGAGGAAGCAGATAATATTCCGGTAGCAATAAATCAACATTTCTGTGTGTAACCAGTCCTGCAAAGCTCGTCAGTCAATGGACAAAGTCCCATAAGAAAAAACACTATATTCTTATCAAGCAGTCTCACTTTTTTTTTTTTTTTGAACACATACAGTTCCACGCAAACCACCAGGTGTTTAAGATGTTTTTATGATGTTACACTTTGTCTTCACCAGTGAGAAAGACAAGTGTACAGGTCAAGAGAACACACACACACACACACACACACACACACACACACACACACACACACACACACACACACACACACACACACACACACACACCTCCTTATCAACATTTTAAATATCACAAAATTAATACTTAATTTGGCCAAATTGCAGACTTTTATTTTTTTCTGCCAATTCCCTGATCACAACATCCTCCACTCACAATGTAGTCTTAACGAACTTGTGACATCTTGTCTTACTGTCTATGTTTTTATATATAGACACACACACGCACACGCACACGCACACACACACACACACGCACACACCTCCTTATCAACATTTTAAATATCACAAAATGAATACTTAATTTGGCCAAATTGAGGACTTATATATATATATATATACTTTTAACATGTTTATGTTCATTTTATGTCTTTTCATGTGAAGCACTTGGTGCATGTCAATTCTTTGTTGTGCAACATTTCTTGTATAAAAGATGCTATACAAATAAATAATAACCAAATAATACATTTATTATTACTTTCATTTGCACTACTTTATGTGTATTTGCCAAATCCTCTTGCTTATCAATCTGCACAATAAAACCCAGGAAGCTTTAAGGTTCAGATGTATCAAAGCAGGAAATCCAGATGACCTACAAACTACAACATCATGTTGACAGACCCATGCTGCCCTCATGTGTCCAAACAGAAACAGCAAAGCTCACTGACAGACTGCTTCAGAGACTGTTAAGATCTCTCTTTTTAAAGCTTTCTGTTCCCCACTATATATTTATACTGTCTCGCCCACCTGTGGCTTTGTTACAGAAAAGCCGGTATTCAGAGACTCACAGTGGCTTATACTGACAGTACGAGGCTGCTGCTTAAAGTCCCAAGAAGCTGCAGCACTAGTCAAATGTCTGTTAATGTTGGTGTGCCCACCTGCCCTGCTGTAATATGAAATCTGATCTACAGATGTACATGTACGGTATCTGATTGTGCAAATGGTATTATCTCAGCTCTCTTATCTTATCAAAAATGCTCCAAACCTGGCCCAGAATATCAATTTATTATTCTTGGAAGTAATGACATTTTTAAAGAGAAATAATGTGACTGATAGTTCTGAGAGGACTGATCACCTCCGGGACTATAAAGCCTGAATTAACACTCTCATCAGACTCCACATAAGTATACGGGTATCAGAAATATGAAGAAAATAACTCATAATGCTAGCACTGTGGTGCATATGTTCATACATTATATACAGTACAAGATCAAAGATGTCATGTGGCACAACTGATGTAAAGTACTCACATTTACACCTGACGATTTTGCTGGACAAGACAACTGTCCTTCAGCGTCTCTATATATGCTGTGACTGCAGTGAGGCTTCACACAGCATCATTTCTCCAGTTCACCTGCATGGAAGATCAGGATTATATCAACCTGGGATTTCAGTGTATATTTATGGGCAGGAGATGTTTGACAAAATTAAAAATTAAAAAACGTACTGCAGTAGAATTCATTGTAAAGTAGGATTTGTCTGTCACATCTGAATGTCAGAGTTGCAGGATGGACCATAACAATAAAGGAATAGTCCTACTGCTCACCATACAATGGTCAGAGGGTCATGACAAAGAAAAGCTACTGTGAATTATTTTAATATTTGTTACTCTGTGATATTACCTAACAAATTCAGCCCATACTTGGGCCACATGCTTGTTTTCCTCTGGCCCAGTATACGCCTGGTTCCACGGCCCAAATCTGGCCCATATACTGCATGATTGTAAGATGTTACTTCCAAATCTGCACCAATACTGGCACACACAGGGAAAATCTTGTCAGTCAATACAGGAGGATAACAGCTGGACTCTGCCCAGATGTGCAAGTACATGGGCCAGACTCGGGCCGAGGACCCAGGCATGTGTTGGGCCAGAGGTTTCATTTTGCTATCTGGGAAGCAGATGTGCAAAAATCCAAACTGTCTCAAATGCTACAGTAGCTGGTTCAGTTCACAATTTATATGTTGTGGCCTCTTGCCATTCACAACTGAGGGTCACATTTGTGAGACTTTTTAATGTGAAGTCCTTTCCTTCATTAAACTGAACCACAGTTAGCCATTTCTGATCAGCTGTGTGGAGCGGTGTCATGCTGTGGGGAAATCCGTCAGTGTGATGTCACGAGCCGCAGACAGCCGAGAGGCGGGTCTGGAGCAGTGCAGGACGGCCTCCTCCACAGCGTGTCTGAGCGGTTTGAGCAAAATGAAACATGGATGAGGAGGTCGCCGAAAGTTGGGAGGAAGCTGCTGACAGTGGGGTAAATAACGAAGGGCTCAATATATCTTCTATTAAATGCGAATATCCTTTCGGTGGCTTCTCGATATTTACACTGTGGTTTTAGAAGTTCCCGTGACGTCGTTCCATGTTAACGACTCCCACGGGCCAACAATGTGGCTAATGCTAACGCTAGCTCTATGAAACTTGGCGAGCTAACGTCAAGTAGCTAGCGAGCGACACGGGCTTTATGTGGACTTAGCTAACTAGCCAAGACGGCGTTTGCTATTTCTAACTAACTTCACGTGGAATAGTGTCAATATACCTGGTTATTAGCGAACGAACTCACACGACGCGAGTTAAACGTACTGAATTAAACGTCTAACTACGCGAAATGCTAAACTTGACGTTAGCTAATGCTAAGCTAGCTATAGATTACATGGCTAACGTGGAAAATCTGACAATGAACCCATATTAATGTACGTATTGGAAAATATACGCACCTCACGTAAGACGATTTTGTCTCAATTCTGGTTTCCTATTCATTTCGGTTCCGCGTTACGTTTTTATAACGACAATAACTCTTATTTTAGGAAAATGTCAACTTGAAGTTTCCCAACCGAACCGTTTTGTGGACGACGACCAGCAGAACCGTGAATCCGTTTAAGGTCCACTATCATAAAGTGAGGACGGGTGACTGTTTTCAGTAAACATCACATTTTCGTTATTATTTTCACGGAACCAGGCTCAAACTATTCGTACTACACGGTTAGCTTAGCTAGCTGAATGCTAGCGTGCTGCACTAACTTGGTGGTTTCCTGTTAGGTTACAAGGCCAAGCTATTGGTAGACAACATTTTTCGGCCATGTTATCAACTAGTGGTCGGGTAGGGAGCTGGTTATGTCGCCAAACTGACAGGTCGGAGACATTGAGGTAACATATAGGTAACATTTATCTTTACATTAGCCGTCGTCGCTGTAGCCTGGCAGACCACCGCTAGCTCATGACGTCAAGAACGTGGCTGAGGAGAAGTTGGCCGTAACGTTAGGAACTAGTCAGGCTGAAGTTACAGATCCTTTCAACACTTCTACTTCAGTTATTCAGTATAAAACGCGATTAAAAAGGAAGCTCAGCTAATCTTACATTAACAGTTTTAGGTGTCAACATCAGCCGGCTAATGTTGGTAGCTGAGCACTCTCTCTGTTATGACTTGGCAGCTGTCCTACACATGTATAAATAGCTTGTAACTGAATCCTGCTTTCCATCCAGTCTTCTGCTTGCTTAATACCTGCTGTACTTTTCTTCGCATACATAATCAAGCAGACCAATGTTGTTTGTTTACATGAATACATGTTTGGACTATTTTTTCCCCCCACAGGAAATGGAAAAACGGTTAGAAGAGAAGCTAAGGATCAGCCAGAAAGAAAAGTAAGGCTTTAAAAGGAAGAAGAAACATGGTCCAAATTTGTGACACTTTAACTTTGTTGTCAAAACTGCACTGTTTTGTTTCTGTTTCTTGAGTATCTGTAAAAGTCGCACCTGAACATGACTTTATAAGCAGACTGGCTATTGATCATTGACTCATCTACATTACTTTACAGACTGTGTCTTCCTCAGTGTTATCATTTACATTTATGCATTTGCAGTGGACTGCCAACTCCGATTTTGGCACCACAGTATCCCCTCTCTTCGTGTTACCTTACATAAAGATGATCCAAATAAGTTTCATGCAATGTAGTGTACAGATTTTAATTTGTGGGGATGAAAAGAGCACGTGATGCTGGGTTCTGTATTAGTAGATACCTTGACTTGAGGTATTGGAATCAGTATCGGGTGGAGAAAAGTTGGATTTTTGCATCCCCATTGAATTAATTAAAAAATGTATTTATTTATTTATTCATTTAATTATTGATTTAATTCATCCTTTTCTTTTAAATGATCTGAATTGAAGAACGTTGTCTTAAGACACATTTTACCACACAATGTAACTTTGATGATGAACAAGGAAGGAGTGCATCAGTAATAAGTGTTGGGGTGTGTGTGTGTCAGAAGTTTTTTTGGCCACTTATCATCTCGGCTATTATTGGCACTGCCTCCTTCACTTTAATGTTATGACCTCTTTCTGTCTGTCGTATCACTAATTTTGCATCCTGTTGGTCTGCTACCAGGGAGTCCAGTAACAATTCTTCACGATCTCCTTTGAAGACGACCATGGTCATACAGGACGAGTCTCTACCAGCGGCCCCCCCACCTCAGATACGCATTTTGAAGCGGCCTGCAAGTAACGGCTCGCTGGGATCGCCCTTGAATCAGAACAGGCCTACTCCACAGGTCAAGTCTCTGGCTCAGCGTGAGGCAGAGTACGCCGAGGCCAGGAAGAGAATACTGGGCAGCGCCTGCCCAGAGGAGACGCCTCAGGACAAGCCCAACACTGACAGGTAATAATCCACAAACATTGACAGGTTAGAGGTTTTCTTCACAGCCTCATAAAGACTTCCTGAAGGGTGAACTGGTGGGTTCCACGTTGTGTGAGCTAAATATTCAAGTGAGAACTTTAGGATATCTCCATTCAGCTTGATTTGAGTAGTTAACACCTTTGGATGTTGAGTATTTAAACAGGTTTATCTTAATAGCCCAGTTCCATTTTATACTCTGATTTTACATTTACAATTAGATTAGATTTTCACTCTGTCTAATGTCTATAGCACTGACAGACTACAGTTTAAAATTAAAAACAGGTGTTTTTAAAAGAAAAAAAGAATGTAAACAATTCAAATAATTTAAATAAGACATATAATGGGAGAAACACAAGCTAGCAACCAGAACAGTAACTTAATAAGCATTAAATGAATCCCAGATGAATTTCCAGAACCCACGCGTCAACAGGATTGCGAGGAGCCTTGTTGACCTCCCCTCCTGGTGTTACTTTTTTGGTTCCATGATTTCGACTGCAGCTGACAGAGGCACGTTGTTTTTGTCGGGCACGTGGGAAAAAAAAACTGCTGTCTCTAATTTATCCATGTTTCCTCTTTTTCTGCCAGGCCAGGGCGCAATAACTCTACATCGCCTTCAGAGGACACCCGATCAAACAATCACACTGTCCGGCAGCCATCCGGACCAGACGGCACCCATGGGTTCCGACAGCACAGATAAGTGGGCCCCGGGGCCACCCAGCCATCGAGAGGAGAGAGATCAAGGACCTCCTGAGAGCAAAGACAGTACTGTATTCTTAAGCTTCCTTCCTTCAGTTCCATTATATCAGATGGGCAGTGAATACAGCCGCACTGCTGCTCAACTCCTCCCACCAGCAGCAGTGTGGAACTGACAGGGAGCGAGGAACTCCAGGAGGAAGTCAGATACGCTCTTTTCTCTCCCCGATCCAGTCTGTTTGACACTGTGATTATGGACATTTTCTGGACTCACTGTGATGATCCCTTTAAAAGACGCCCCTCACCTCCATCTCTGTCCTCCTCTGGTTCCCAGGATGTGTGCAAGGCAGCGGCAAAGACTTTATCAAAGGATGGCAGAGAGGGGAGGAGATGTGATGGGCCATAACAAAATGAGATGAGCTGGTACTTGTGCAGCAGCTTCTCCCCAGCAATAATACCACACACCACTTCTCACACCTTTCATGTTTTTAATTTTTCTGATGTTGGCTCACTAAATTTTTATCTTTTAGGGATGCTCTGATATCTACCGAGTACAGATAGAAGTAGTAACGTTATACACACACCACCAAGGACCTGCTCATTACAACAGCATTTAATTTTGGCATTTAAAAAAAAAAAAAAAAAAAAAACTTCTGCAGTTTTCTGTGAAATGGGAAACATTCGAAATTTTCCCCATTTGTTTTGTGCTAAAAATGTTCTCAAGATGACCTGGTTTGGTTTCTCCGTACAGACACTCTGGGCTGCATCTTGTGGTGTCAGATGGGACAGTGAACTCCCCACTAATGCAGAGTATTTAACTGGTACCTGTCCGGTAACTGAGCTGTTTGCATTATCAGTGCACCCCTAATTTGTAAATTGCCATTTGTTTTTAAAAACTTAGGGTAAGGGTCATGTGTGTCAAGTTGTATATCTGAAAAGTTCTGTTTACGGTTTTTGTTTTTTAATTAAGCTTTACAGCTGTCTTCCTTTGACTGTCACTTCATTATTTCTATTTAAAAGTAAAAGCAAAAAAAAAAAAAAGACGAGTGAGGAAGAGATTGTGGATTTAAGTCCATTTTTAAGTAGCTTTTCTGCCTTTTTGTATGAGATGGCAGCAATGTCAGAGCAGTATTTTAATCGAGATGAACCAAAAGCCCATTTTAAAATCGACCTGAGTATATATCAGGTAATTCAGATGTCATTATTTGAAGGTGGTGTTGGCAGCAACTCGAGGGAGGTTCAGATGGGGGAATGAATTTACTGCTGTACTTCACAAGCTGCTCCGCTGCAGCTCCACCTCGTCAGCGGTGCGCTCATTTCATCATGTCCGTCACTGACGTACAGCATGTAGGAACTCAGGTGCAAGCGAACGAGACTGAATGAATGAAATGAACGAAGATTGTATTTTTCCAGCAGGTTTGATTTGCTCAAACAGCAAATGTCCATATTTAAGCTTGGGTTGGCACTTTGTTAGAGACAGTGCTATGCAGCAGAGTGTGCAGTGAAATGTAACTGAAGCGATGTCCACGTCCCAGGATGAATGAATGAGGTTTTTTTTTTTTTCCTTTTTTTGTTTTTGTCTTAACTGACAGTATGAAATTGTAACACCACTCCCTTGTTCAATAACTGATGGTCCACTCCTGAAATGGAACGTGTAGACGCAGCTGGATGTGAACCAGAGAGGTAGCGACTACCTGGCTGTCCATTGTGCCCGATAGATGTAATTAGTTTTTCACATATATTTGTTCGAGCGGAGAAGAGATCTCAATAAAGCCATATTCAGTGGTGCACATCATCAGTTCTAATAATGGTTGAATTCAGCTTGTGCCTCCTGTATCACATCTTTACTTCCTGGTTGTTGATTTTATTACTGTAGTTCAAGAAAAGTGAATATATGTGAGGGAGAATTCACAATACTGGTAAGAGACTTTAGTTCAGGAAATCTAGCGGCAGAGCAGGAGACAGACGGGTTTAACTGAGCTCTGAGTGAGAACACAAACTGCCTGTAAATACTGATTTAATAAAATGATTTGTCAAAAAAAGTCATTTTCATGTTGTCATGCCTGCTCATTATTATTTGGCTGAAACCTGCAAAACTCAGTGGAGTGTGTTAATAACCACACCATATCATGACAGAAAGAGACACTGTAGTTTACATAAAAATAGTTTTTATTAACACAGGTAAATGTGGTTTTGTTAGTGAAGTTGTGTTTTGTCTCTGTTCACTTTCAAGTGTCCAACAGAGGGGAGGGCAGATGCTAGGACAAGCAGATGACTCTGTGATCTGAGGGGGACAGGGTCTGATTGAGTGGCGGCCATGACGGAGACTCAGACAGAAGGACGTGGAGACGTTTGTACTGTTTCTTAGACAGACGTCTCCCACGCAGCAACCGAAGACAGTTCAGGATGCCCAGGTCTATCAGCAGCTGGAGAACAAAAACAAACAGCAGCTGTACAGTTAACAAGGGATTTTACCATAGCTAGTGTCCAATGAGTGTTTATCTGTGAATGATGCGGATGGACAATAGGCTTTTTTTTCATAGTAGAAAAAGCATGTGTTTTTAAAAACACTTAACGAAGGCTCTGCTGTGTTCAAGTGTCAGACAGTGAGCCACTGTGTACAATACCAGGCATAAAAACATATATAATAATATATAATGTTTTATGAGACCCAACAGTCCATACTTTGCATTTAAAGTTGTGCGACGGAGTATTTGGGCCACATTGAGGGAAAAAAGTCGTAATATTACAAGAATTAAATATGTGAAATAACAGAATAGACTCAGTTTCTTGCACAATCTTTTCAATTTCAATGTCCTGATGTTGCTGCTGATGATGAGCCAAAAGATGAAGTATCTCCTTATTTGTGAAACTTCTGCTAAAGTAAAACTTCACAGGATGCTCAACGTTCCTCATTTTAAAGCTTCTGATATTTCCCCTCTAAAACAACACAGAATCTAAAACTACCACTTTATTCTGATAATATTATGACTTTTTTCTTGAAATATGATTATTTTTTCTTCAATGCTCATAAAAGTTGAGATTTCAAGCTTTCAAATTTTTATTTAATTCATTTGGTTCATTTGATGCAGAGAGCAGACACTGCCCCGCCTCCATTATACATGTAATGTGTGTGTTTTTGTACACTGGTTACTCAAATCTTTTTCAGAAAGGCTCTGAGGGAGAACTAATCTAACACTAACTGTGCAGCATCAGAGATGGCTGTTAACATACATGAACATTCAACAGTCACAGGCGGAGGAGGAAGAAGTGTAAGGAGGTGAAATCCTGAGCAGTGCTGGCACGAGGAAATCAGCAGTGACAACAGTGAGACAAAGGCCTCCTACTGCACTTGTTTGAATGTGATTGGATGTTACTAGTCAGCTGGTAGCTGAACAGATGCTGCATAAATACTGCAGTGAGCACTGACGACAAAGATGATGCTGATCGCCTGAAATGAGTGAAACATACAGAATCTGTGTGTTTGGAATAAACGAGAAGTTACTATGGAGAGTTTTTCAGCCATGAAAACTTGTCACTATTTAATCATGTTGAAACTGACATGAACTCAATGTCAGATCCATTTTTTTCTTGATGAAGGAAATATTACAAACTTTTTATATCCTTCTCTACAGCCTGTAGAGGGTCTTCAAAGACAGATTTACTGATCAGCATCATGGAGAATATCCCTACATCAGTTCAATCCAAAAGACAGCTGGCGTCTCATATGGTTGCCGTAGGAGCTAATGACTAAGCCAGTCATGTAAATGTGATTATAGTTTGTCCTGAGAGGGAATATGAAAGCCTCATATCGACACTCACCTCCACAACAAAACAAACGAGGAAGTTGAGAGCGGCCACAGCGACGAGCAGCATTTTGTAACTCATATCAGAGATGTTGTAAAGTTGAAGTATCCTGCAAACGGCAGGCCCGGGATACAACACCAGCCAAGTCATCAGGGAGAAGAGGATGACCAGTAGACAGAGGAAAATCACTGGAAATATAAGAGAAAAAAAAAAATCACTTCTGAGCTCAAGGTCCTAAATCCATAATATGTTAGCCAACAATTGGTGTAAATGTCTCACCCTTCCAGCCCCAAAACCATCATCTTACCATTGTAATAGAGAGGTTTCTTGTGAGGGTAGCCCTTTGTGACCACCACAGCCATGATAATGTACTGGAAACCTGACAAGGAAAACACACTGGTGTCCTCCATGTTGGGCAGATTGGCCGTTCCAAACACTGTTGAATTGAGTGGAATATACCTGAAGCAATAAATAATACAGGAGAAGAAGTTATTAAAGTGTGTGTATATTAAAGTGCAGATAGGATGGTGGTCTTCTCCTGAATCTCAGACATTGGATTTTGTTTAGTGAATTAAAAAAGGATATTCTGGAGGGAAATAAAAGCTCGACAGCTGTGTCTCCTTCTTACTGACCAGTCCTGTGAGGTGGTGATTAAGAGCGCAGCCAGCTGGCCCAGGACGATCATGCAGGCGTGGATGAAGAGGCTGCCGAGGACAGGCAGGGCCAGCAGACTGGCTGGGGGTCGACTGGGATGTAGGTGGTCACTGGGGCCTCCTTTTCCCATCACCACAGCCAGCAGCGTCACCAGAGCAATGTCACTGAACAGGAACTGCATGTCCGCCACGCCCGTCTTCACCTGGTCACACACAACAACAGGTCACATTCCAGTGTGAGATCTTAAGGAAATAAAGGTGAAGAAAGAAACTGTTGTCTTGAGATCAAAGTTGCAAACTTGTACTGAATTGCTCCTCTGAATATATAATTATTCTTATATTTATTATAGGTATACTATTATTAAATTTATTGCAATTATTCTAATTTATTTGCATGTCCCCTTCCTCTTAAGAAAGCAGGCTAAATAACTGCTACCAAATTGAGCCAGTTAGCTCCTGTTAGCTCGAGCGACAACAGTGTCAAAGTAAATCTGAACTAGCTGCTGCTGCTGTAAATAAACACTGTACACAGACACAGAAAATACCCTCTCCCATAATTTATTTAGCTTAATCAGGCTACACATGCTACCTACCTAGCTGGCTAGGTTTGGTTGTGAGTTTGGATTATTACACACCATCAATGTGAGGAGACAGTGAATTAACCAGAGAAGGTTAGCTGCTGCTGCTGCTGTTAACCATGTTTTGATTGTAAAGACATTGCTCAGAGAAAAAAAAAACACACACAACAACACTGAATTTCTCTGTGGTAGCTCAAGCTAATAGAAGCTAGCTAACACTGCTAACAAGGACGCTCCTCTTTGATGCTGAACCAAGCTAGTTCGCTGGCTAGGTAGGTAGCTAACAGGAGCTTACTAGCTAATTCTGTTAGCAGTGCATGTGATTGGTTGAAAGGTGACAACACCACTGTGACATTATAAAATAAAATGTGTCACAATGAAAACTAAGTTTTTATGAATAAAAACAAAGTTTTGAAAAAGGGTATTTTGAAATAAAAATGTCGACAATGAAATAACATAAAACATTTAATAATTGATTGAGTTATAATAAAATTATTCAATAATTTCACAAATTGTTTGTTCATTTATATATTTTACACAATTTATTCATATGGTTATTTATTTCATAATGTCTTTTTATTCATCTAATACTCATCACTTTGGGGCTTAATATAAGATCTTGTCTAAAAGTCGACTGGACAGAAATACAAATGAAACGTAGCTACTTTGAGGGTGATGAGCTCCACTGATACTCACTGTGTAGAGGATGAGGACAGAGCAGAACTGGATGAGGCTGTACAGAGCCATGTATCTGAAGAGACTGAAGGAGGTGACCAGAGAACATCGGCCCTCTCTGCAGAGACAAGGAGGAAAAATGTGTCATTGCTTCTAAAACCTCAAACATTACTAGTCTGGTTGGCTTTCAAAAACATCTGCCACATTTAACATGATTTTCTAACTTCAACGTTATAAATTCCTCCCACTTCCTCACTTGATAAGCAGCGGCACACAGCTGATGTCTTCAGTTTTGGACGTGAAAGGTGAAGCGACAGAAGCCTCGGCTTCAGACAGGGAGACCCCGACATCAGCAGCTCTCAGGGCCCCACAGTCATTGGCCCCGTCCCCGCACATGCCCACCCGGTAGCTGCAGTAAGAGAAGAGGAGCATTAAAATTTCACCAATAGCTGGTGTCTTATTAAAAGTTTTCCCCTGATACTCAATTCTCTGTAGATCTGTTTCCCTTAGTAAATTCTTGCTGTGTTTTATTTCCTGTCTGTTATTCGTCTGTGTTCCTGTTTTTCTTCTTTGTGTCTGAACTCACTTCAGTTTCTGCAGCTCCTTCACCAGCTGGGTTTTCTGATCGGGAGTCATCCGTGCAAAGACTGTGGCTCGCATCAAAACCTGAAATGACAGCATAACAATAAAGGCAGTTATAATGCCACTGTCTGAACCAAATTATAATGTCATTTAAATCATTGTTCCAGTTGCTAGCTGCTCAATAGTTAGCACGGTCCATTGTCAGAACATTCCTGTTAGGATCAGACAGCTTACATTACCTTTGGCAGATACTCGGGGAAGTAGTCACAAAGGGCAGCGAAGGACTTTCCATTAATCGCCAAGTGATAACCAAAACCACCCTGGTACAGGCCCTGAGAGCAGAGGGAGGAAAATCAATAACAGCGACCGAAATTCATCCTGACAGTATGAAAATGTCGCCCATGATTGTGCTCTATGTGAGATAACTACTCAACTGTCAAATATGACACAACCAATTAGCAAAAACCTGCATGTATCAATGCGTGTATGTAAGAATTAGGGTTAGCTTTTAGTGACACAGCTCATGCTGTACGAGAGATAATGGGACCAAAACTTTAGGATTGATTGGAAACTGATATGAGATCACTGTTGTCTCTCAAGTTCAGACAATGATCCCAGTTCAGTCTGGCATAAGATGAAAGTCATCCCTCCTAATATTTATTAGATTAGCACAACTACAGTCAACGTCTGTTCTTCCCAGATGTCTAAAAATGTCAGCATTTGATTTAACCATCCTCAGGACCAGTGAACTGTAGTGGTGTGTGTGTCTGAGCAGGACCGACCCAGGTGATGACCTCTACGGAGCTTTGGCCAGAAGCTGTCGTCCCTCCTTCTTCCAGGCTGAACCTCAGGGTGGGCATGGACTGGGCGGTGTGGGGGGTGGCATTGACGAATATCACCTTCTCATCAGATCCCACCATCCCACAGCTTTTTGCTACATTCACTGCTGTTAAAATGTTGTCACCTGTGTGAGGAAGGACAAAACAAGATTATGATATTTGGAACAGAGGAGACTAGAGAAAATATGCAACTTCATGCCTTCGAACTGCAGTGTTACACTAATGCAAAATATCCCTTACCAGTGACCATGACGCTGCGAAGGTGTGCCATTCTCAGGATGTTAATAACCCTGGGACTCTCTGGCTTCACCAAGTTCTTCATCATTAGCAAACCCAGGAAGTGCATGTCTTTCTCCACTTCCTGTCTGTTGACAGACACACGGCCGCATGAACACACACATCTTTGTATCTTAAAACAGAAGAGCCTGAGAAGTGTCTTTGGTGTCACAAAGAAGTCAGACATGCAGACTGGGTTCTCACCGTTCTATGGTCCTAAAGTCAGTGTTCCTGTCTACGGGTTTATAGGCAAGTGCAAGAACCCTGAGGCCTTCACTGGAGAAGCTGCGCAGTTTGCTGGGGAACTGTGACGGCACTGTAAAACAGAAAACACCCCGTTTTTTTTTTTTTTTTTTTTTAAATGTCATGAAGACACAACGCAAATTCACAAATGTTTTATTCCCAGTCTGTAAAAATTATTCAAGCTTCAGTTTTTATTAATAATAACTTTCTGACCCGTTTCTGCTCGGCAGAGGCTAGCCACCATCTCAGGGGATCCTTTGATAAAAGCCAGAGCTGAGTGACCCCCCTGGGCCACTGTGACCACACTCATCCTCTGCAGGGCCGAGGAGAAGGGAAACCTCTGAACAATGGCCACCGCCTCGCTTGTGGACTGACATGAAAATGAAAGAGAAGAATAAGAGTTAATAACTGAAAAACTGCAGGGCAATATTGACTTTTTTATGGCTCACGAGTTTTAAGATTTTCTAGAAAACATAGCAGGGACAGTTAACAAAGCAGACATTACAGTTTACAGGTTGCACTGTATGAACTAAAGATGTGCTGACTTTTCCTGCCACTTCTTCTTTCTTCAACAGAAAAAGACACAAGCACACAGGTGGCCCTGGAAATATCCTGAAGTTATACTAATTGTCAAAAATGTAACACTAAGGTTAAAAATCAAAGATCAATATCTGTTGAAGAGTGTTACAGGCGTTAAGCGGTTGTTCACTTTAATAGCACATAAGCCCTATTGATCAGTTTATATGGGACTGATGTCAGCGACACTCACAGTTCCTTGAGCTTCTAGCTGTTGAGTTGGAGGTCTCATAACGGCCAAAACTTTGTGGCCTCCAAACGCTGCATCCAGCACCTTCCCATCTCCCTCTGGCTCCTGTTGGGTCTGTAAATTAGATATGATGTAAAAAATACTGATTTACATCAATGTTATTAATGGCAATTCACTGTAAGATGAAATGTGACAGGAGTGGAGAATCGCCTGAAGAATGCAAAAACACTACGTGGTTCTTCCAATGTCCCAGAGGTGTAAATGAGAGGGAAACTTTATAACCACTATTAACATTTAAAAGGGAAAATTTGAGAACTTTGGCTACTTTAACTAAATGAAAACAGGTTTTATAACTAAGTTAGTACGACTCAAAAAGTATTGTTTTACTCTGTCCTAGTCAAGTACTTCTTGAAGTAAATAAAACAAGCTTTATACGATCGTACCCAACCAGTGGACTCAACCATCCTGAGCTCCAGAGGGTCTCCGAGGGGCTGACCTTGCAGCAGCGTCACAGTGTGACAGCAAGCCAGGCCTGAGAGCATGGGCCCCGGGGGCAAGAGTCTGGGCTCTGGGACCAGCTCTGAGAACCCAGCAGGTCCCCCCTCCATCACTCCCCACACGTCCAGACCCTCCTCCGTCAGAGTTCCTGTCTGGTAAAAACAAAATGAAGCGTCAATGACAAATTCAGTGAAGTGGCCAAGACTGTTCTCCACATTCGCGGCAAACTTCATCCTCACCTTGTCGAAGCAGAAGAGTGACACCTTGCCGCAGACGTTGATGCGTGGGGGACTGATGCAGAAGACGCCCTGCTTCTTGAGCCTGCGCTGGGCGTAGATGGTGCCCGTGGTGATGGCAGCAGGAAGGGCAGGAGGCACTGCAATGGTCACAATATCCAGACTCCTGATCACTAACTCCACCCACGTTGCCTGGACACACACAAGTCAGTCATATCACTTCATCTGTTCTTTATATCCAGTAAAAAAATTAATAAAAACTGACAGGCCACAAAATATTTCAGTACACTGTAGCTTACATTGGATCTGTAGAGCACCACGAAGCTGTAAATGGTGCCAAGACAAGCTGAAACAGAGAAGGATAATATTGGATATACAGTATTCACATTTCATTGCAGATAACTCAAGTTTTTCATACACTCTTGAAACAACATGAGTTAATGCTCTTACCAACAACACCCAGGACAAGCAGGAACTTGATAGCGTCTTGGTAGAAGCGGAAGTTGATTGGCTGAGGATACAAAATGGAGCTGACCAGGTTTCCTTTGGCTGTGAAGAACCCTGAGGATACGAAATAAGACAGAGAATAGGTTTGGTCTGTTTACATTTAGTGTTACTATCTTGGAGGTCTAACAAACATGTTGAAAGTGTTTCCTTCATCATAAAATCACACTTGCACAATGGCCACCAAATAAGATCTGGTTTCTCGGTCAACTGACATGTCAACAAAATGTTACCGCCTCAGATCATCAGTGTCTCTACTCACCAGTGCTTGTGACCACGGCGACAGCACCCCCACCTCCCGGACCTCCACCTTTGGCCTGAATGAGCTGGGTACCACAGAAGAGAGTGTGTCTACGCTCAGTCTCTGAGCTGTACTTGCCCTCACCGGCCGGCAGTGGGGTTTTCAGCACAGGGACACTTTCACCTGGACACAGGAATGATGAAAGCCAGGTGATACACTAATACACCAACCAGGTTTTTATTGGCCATGTTTCCTGTATTTTTTGTTTTTACTGGTCAACAGTGTTGGAGCTTTCTAAATTAAATCCAAACGACAAAGTCAAAACTGCAGCAACACATAAACAAAGTGAAAGACTACCAGGTTAAACTAGTTTACATACAGATTTTCTTCTCAAGAAAAGAGGCTACTCTGTGATTCTCTGAAAAAGTTTATGGATGTAGAGGTCATGGCATTTCATCAACACAAAGGGGAGCAAATAATCCAACAGAAGAAGTTATAAAACAGGTTCTGCCTGTTGGTGTTCAGGTTTGATGATCACCTGTGAGCATGCTCTCATTCACCAGACACTCCCCAGCCAGCAGGGCAGCATCACAGGGCAGCAGCAGACCTTCCTGGGGGATGATCAGACAGTCGCCGGGGACCAGATCCACTGAGCTCACACACTCCTCGGCTGAGAAAACACATAGAGCTCTGGGTTTAATGCAGAATAAGTGCACTGAAGCAGTCTGGCTTTACTTGGCCCAATGAAACGAAATCACTTCCTGATTTATTTCCTCGCTACATTAGCTCGAGAGTTAGGAGAGACATGTAAGAAAATCACCTTCAGCAACAAAAGCTACAAATAAAAACTTTTTTTTAAAGCAAATTCTTCTTAAAGTAAACAATTCATTTTTCAAGTTTTTCAAGTATTTGCCAGTTGGTTGCCGTCATGACCACACATTCTTCTATACATGCACTGTAACTGAATGTTTCTCCAAACAAACGGTGTGGCAGAGGGACCATTAATGTTCTCATAGCTGCTGGAGGATGTAGCTACAGTAAGCGGTTGGGCAGAACACACAAATAGCTCAGTTGGGTTTTGCCTCGAGGGAGGAACTGTCACAGCTTAAAGCTGCTCTGTGGAGTTTCTCGTCAACAAAGCTTCTGTTTACTTTCAGCGTTGCTGACCAAAACGCACGAAATGGAACATTCCACAATAAATATTTGCAAAGCTGATTTTGTGAAAGTTTTCGAACCCCGCTTTGTTTACACCCATGTTTACTTGCCTGCTGCCCTTTTTTTTTGGTAACAACTGTAATCAAACAAAACGGGGAGCACCTTGTAACGACACTGACCCGTAGCTGTGATCGCAAACTCCAAATGGCACCTCAATGACAAGAACTGCCGTTTTGATATGTAAAGAAAGTTGCACAAATAACTTTGGGCACTACCACTGACCCATGGTCCTGTGTTTTCCCCCATGTCTTAGCCCATTTTAAAAAGGGAGCTGCTAACTCCAATGCTTCTACGGAGGACAAAGGTTGTAATATACACTCAGTTGCCAGTTTATTAGGTACACCTCTCTAAAACTAATTCAGTCTAATACAGCAGCAAATCTAATACTGCAACAAATGCTTGCACTGGTTGTGTGTTTTTTGTTGTGTACATGTGTTTTTTAATGTCTACTCTATGTGCCCTTTAAATTGCCCCCTGGGGTGAAATAAAGTTTATTGAATTGAAATCCTACATTCATGAAGGATATGATGTTCAGCTTTTGTTGAAACAGTTGTTGATTCAACTGTATGATTATTTAGGGGATACAGTTTGTGCTGCTGTTGAATTGTATTGCGTTATTATATCAAGCGTATCTAATACTGTAAACTGGCAACTGAGTGTTGAATCCCAGAGGTAACTCTGATTGATCGAGTTCTACTTCAGTCAATTTTTGATTTTCAGTCCTGAGGAATGAGGAATAAAAATGTTGCTGGTTCAAGAGAGGCACCTACTTATGAAGAATACATGCCAACTCATTGTCTGCCATCTAAAACACTTGGGTACAGTCTCAGTTAACAAATCAAAACCATCTTTTACTGTCTCTGACCACTTTGAATAATGGTTATTTACCGCTATATAAAACTATGGCTATGAATCACCTTGCCTTTAGCAGACTAAAACTTCCTGTGCCAAAAGTCATTGGCTCTCAATTACATTACTGCAGGACTCATTTTAAGGTGAAGTTAACAAAATTACCGCAAAGCCCCTTTTCCACTGGCAATAAAAACCTGCTAAGACCCATTAACATCTGGCTTTTGTCAACAATGGAAAATGGTACAATCGTGATTCACATCCGGGTCAAATGACTCTGCAGTAGACGCGGGTATTTATCGGCTCTGGCACCAATCATCATTGATGTAAACACAAGACCAGGTGAACAAACTAATGTCAAGCAAATAACATAAATCATTTTCTGAAACAGGAATTCCACAATGGAAGGGGAATAAATTAGCAAAAACTCACCTCCTGAGTTTCTGCGTATCGTAACATTTGTGACCAACCGGGCCATGTTGTGAAGAGTGATGCTTTGCTGTGGAGTGAGGTTAAAAAAGTTTCAAATACTGTCATTAGCATCAATATCCAGAGTTAAACATGTAATAAATTATAGTCAGATTAAGTATTCCACTACAGGCTCACCTTGCGTGTCTCATACAGAGAGATGCTGATAGAGAAAATGGAGATAAACAAAATGCACAGAGCATACAAATAATAATTATCAATCATCCACAGGGTGATACTGAAGAACTGGAACACATAGAATGGGTTGAGGACCTACAGAAGCAGAGAGAGAGAGAGAGAGAGCGAGAGAGAGAGAGAGAGAGAGAGAGAGAGAGAGAGAGAGAGAGACAAAAGGAGAGGAGCCGGCTCAATTTCATACTTCACCTGGATTTTGAATAAAATATTACTTCAAACCAAATCATCATACAAAATTAATGTGAGTCAGTATAAAAGACTGTGATTTCAATCTCACCTCCTCAAACAGCAGTTTAATATAAGGCTTCACAGGCACGTCGATAAGGTTGGGCCCATAAATTCGTCTCCTGAAAGAATTCATGTCATGAATTACCCAGCAGTTCCCACTGAGATCAAAGAATCATCTTATTTCTCACATTCATGCATCGTTTCCCACCTCAAGCTCTGCTCCATGTGACTCAGGCCCTTTTGGAAACCATACAGGTCCTTGCAGGTCCAGTCCTCATTGAGGACACTACAGACAAAGATGGAAGTGTTCAGCATTGATGTGAAAAACAAACACAAAGTTAAACACATGATAAAATATAAAAACAAAACTCAGATTATTCTTTGGCTGAAGCAACAAGTGTGTAGACATATTTCAAAAGTCTATGTTTTATAGTATTTTCTAGGATTTAACTTTTGTGAAAATGGTCAACGTCAAGCCTAGAAATCCTACTTGTCTCTGGTTTTCTTGTTTCAATACCTAACACGACAGAAAGCTCCCTTCCTGTCCATCCAGACGTAGCGCAGCCCTTCAAACAGGTAGTAGCGCAGCAGAGTTTTCTGTAACATGATAGAGGTCACTTCCAGTCAGGGAAAGAAGGTCACGCAGCACATTATTCTGCCAAAAAAAAAAAAAAACTGAACACAACCGCTCCCTTCTTCCTCACCTCCTCCTTGTACAGCTGAACTGTATCTCTCCACTCAGTGACCTCCAGCTCTCCCAACAACTCCATACTGAAAGGAAAAAAACAAAGTCAGCATCAGTTTGAACAGTTTTTCGGATACGTGCTAAAGATGATCCTCTCCGACAGCCAGAGGACAGAGACATGGAGCTGACCTGCCATCCTCCATCTCCTCTGTGAGGACCTCCACCACATGCTGCTGGCCAAAGGCGTCCTGAAAGTGAAGATTTTATACTTTACCACTGATGTGCAAAAATAATTCACAAAACAATTTAAATAAAGACCAACAAAATTACAAAATTGTAATAAAAATAATACACAAGAAAATTTTAAAACATATAAGATGACAAGATTAAAAACAGTTGCATTCTGTTTTGGGGAGATTTAACATCTAGTTTCTAAAATGTGGATAAATTATAAAACTATGAATTTTTAATGTGCTCTGTGTCTTATTCCATGTGTCTGGGGCATTGACTCCAAATGTTAGCCAATCATGTCACAGAGTTTGGTGCATACTAACTGATCTGACCAAGAGAGACCTAATATACGATGGTATTTTCGTAAATGAATAGGTCCCAAAGCATGTCACGTCCTTCTGATGGAGAGGACAAACCAACCTTCTTGTATAGGTTTGGTTGGTACAACATAAATGCATCTGTGACTGCTGGAAACTAGACATTAACCAACCAACACAGGAAGCATCTAATGTTGTGTATCAGAGGATGAGACAAAATACTGCCACAGATATGGTCCCGTTTTCCGTCTGGCACTAACATCGTACTATTCTGGTTGATCAGATGTGATGAGCGTGAGCTAACAGATACAAAACAAACTATAAAACTTTGGAGGTGGATGTTTGCAGATATGGAAAAGCACTATTTTAATCAGTTCCACCCAGTAGGTACACGTTAATGAAACAGATGGAAAGCAGCTTGGATAATAAATGCTGGTCATAAAACGGTGAACCAGGATGAGGTATTTGCTGCAACATTTTAAACTGAAGCTGGTAATTGCTAAGATTTTGTTCCAATGTATATAAAAGAAATTACAAGTACACTGTGTGTAATTAATTTCTTCCCAGTGTGGAAAATAATCTGCAACAGCATTTCGGACATCAATGGACACTGCAATTCAGTACTTTCTTTGGAGGTTAGAGCAGTGCTCTAAAAGGAAGATAACATTCACCCATAATTGAAAATTAAATTAATATATAGACCAGACTGAGAGACTAACATTTCAGTGCAGGTTTTATAATAGCTGTGACCTCTCAATCTAATACTTTATCATCAGGCCACTTTCAGCCATTATGATTATTTCTCTTAAGGATAATGTGGGACAAAGTGACTTGCAGGTCAGGTGTAGTTCTTGCAATGCCAAGACAAATCAGTTTCAGTGATAATGTCAGGTACTTAGCAGGTTTTAGAATAAAATAGGAACTGTTTTTATTCTCACTCTTATTAGCAGAATATCTGCCAAAGCCAGAGGGCAGGAGCAGCAGCGGGCAAGGACACTGAGCCGCGGGCGCCAGTGAAACACGATCAGGAGGAGACCCAAGGACAGCACAGCCACCAGGCGACACAACCACACCCGACAGCGCACCCACTTATACCCCTGAACATCCTGGTGGGGCAAAGGAGTCAGACACTCTATTCAGATTCAAACACAGGTTTGTTCTCATTGTTAAACAGAGGTTCATTTCCATTTAGCTGGTTAGCTTATCAGCACCTGAATTACATGATAAGCCACCAAGAAAAGCCAGAATGACAGAGCAGCTTGTTTGTTTTCAGCAGTGATACTTACTGTAGACCAAATTAAATAATATTCAAAACCACTGGTTCCTCTTTGTCTGTAAATATAACAAGGCTATATCCACTTCTCTAAGTACAGGTGACAGGTGTCAAGTACTCTTGATTCTTTACTTCTATTTTCTGTATTTCTCCCAATTTGTTCTCTTTGCTCTTCTTGTCTTTATCCAATTCTTTGTTGCTACAATAAACATTATATGTCTGTTTAGCAGAAACACTGTGGTGGTTCTTACCATGTGTGAGTCAGGACTGAGGAGGGGGTCTCGTGGACTGGGTGAGGGGAGTCCGCTCTGCGGCTCCACCACACTTCCTACAGAACAGGTTTAAGTGCTGTTAACACAACGGTTTCTCTGCTACATTTGCATTGGCTGAGCAGCGCAACACACACACCCTTAAAGTCAATACTAACAAAACACACATGGCAAATGCTCTGCTCTGGTCCATGTTGCAAACTGCAGTGAACTTTAAGGTGGCATGCTTCAAAAGTAACATCTTTTGTATTAATTTAGTGGCGATTGAATCTTGTTCCAAAAACTGGCTGAGGTGAGCTCATACTTCATGACCATCCTCTGGGTTATCAGACAACCATTAAACTTTACAGCACTACATTTATAGTCTGGGTCAGTATGGTTAAAGCAGTGGTTATGGATATTCAGTTGTGATACAGTTGCAGTAATCCCTCTGCAAAAAGTCCCAGAGTAACTCTAGTAAAAAAAAAAAAAGGACACAATACAAACACAAGCAAAGGGAAGGAAAATAAGTGACAATGGAGATTTAAGAGTTACCATAAACTGTAGTGAGGTCACTAACACACCTGAGTACGACAGATACACTTTGAGCTCCTGTTATAAACATTAACTTTTAAAAGGCTGCAGAGGAGAGTAAAACGTCCCGTTAAAAATGTACGTTTGCTTTAAACCCTTGTAAAAGTCATATATTAATGGAATATACAATAACCTAGGAGATAGAGAATACCGTAAGTGCTGTAAAGTAGGTTGTTTTTTTTTTAACCAGATGCTCGTTTCCGCCTCCATACACATGGAAAACATCGACACAAAAACCAACATCATTCAGATTGAATTGAGCTTACCGTCGACTCTAGACCGTAAATGTAAGATAAATATATCCCAGAGATGATTGAGTTATAGAGGGTGAATTTCAGTGCTGCCGCCGGTGTGACCCAGCTTTCACTTCTACTGCTGCTGCTCTGTTTCTCTCTTTTCACCTGCCCGCGGCGCCTCGAGCGTCTGACACCTGACTACCGTAGTTGTATAACCGGATCCTGTGGCAAATCTGGGGTACGAGTAGCCACCATCGTGAAGATATATTAGACTGGTCTGTATGTCCAGTCTTCATTGTGCTCATAGACGAGTCTAATGCAAGTAAGACTGTTTCAGATAAGTAAAGACCGACTAATTTTAAGATAAAAAAATATTACCCCCAGGCTAACTCAGGCGAATGTTACCATGGTAACAATCAGTGACACCTGCGCTGAGTAGCACCGAACAACAAAAAACAGGATAACATGGCTCATAATTTGAACGGACGGAGTTTTTAGAGACCACAGCTATTTTTTTTAACCATTTAAAAAAAAATTATGTTTCACTCTTAAAGAAAAATTTCCTTGTAAGTGATTAATTCTTCCAAAAGACAAAACATTTCTGCTCGGGTAAACGGAGCTGTGCGGTTGGACGCGGTTCCTCAGTCGGCCATTTTTTTATTTCGAAAAAAGTCTTAATTTACCCAGAATTCATAGTACCATAGTTCAATTTAAGACAGTCAAGAACTAAACTATGCGTAACGGATGGATTCAGATGTCTATCTGAAGTCTGACTATTTCTTATATCTAAGCCACAGTCAAAGTCTATCTTTGTGAAACCACTAAGACTAAGACCAATGTTACTATGGTAACAATCAATGACACCTGCACTTACCAGCACCCAACAACAAAAAACAGGAAAACATGGCTCATATATGTGGATTGCTAACATTGTTATTGAGAGAGCAATGAGATGGGAAAGAGTTTTTAGAGACCACAGCCATTTTATTCCAAATCAGATTTTTAGTGTTACAATCTTTCATGAATTTTCCAAGTAAAACATCCTTGTAACTGTAGAATTCTTCCAAAAGAAAAACATTTCCTACTGGAACCTGAGCGGTTGGATGCTGCTCCTTGGTTGGCCATTTTGTTTTATTTTGGAAAAAAAAACCTTAATTTACCCAGAATTCATTGTACCATAGTCAGGTTTAAGATAGTCAAGAATGTAGCTGCTTTGTGCAATGGATGCATTTAGCTACTATTTGTTATATCTAAGCCACAGTCTAAGTCTGTCTTTGCTAACTCAGGCCTAAGGCTAATGTTACCATGGTGAAAATCAATGACACGTGCGCTTATATGGATTGCTAACATTGTTATGGAGAGAACAGAGTTTTTGGAGACCACAGCCATTTTTTTCCAGATCACATTTTCATTGTTACATTGAAACCCGCTCTTCTGACTATGAACAAACCAAGAGTCCATACATTGTCAACAAAGAAATGCGCAAAGAAACTACATTGAATCCTTTAGAATGCGTTACACAACTGTTGCCATGACAGTTAAAGAAACGGTAGCTGCAGGCTACATAAAAACAAAGTTAAACGGTGGCGGTACCACTTTACAAAAAGGCTACCTTTATCAAAGATTTATAAATGGTTCATAATTAGGTTATTAATTTAGTTGTTAACACTTTTTAAATCATAAATAACCAATTATAAACAAGTTTTCATACATTGATACAGGCTCACTATTTGGCAAGATCAAGTTAATGTTTACTACTCATTAATCTTACTGATGAGTTACTACCATTTATTATATTATTATATTATAATATTTGATAGTTTTACTCTCCTCTAACACAAACAGCATTATCATTAAATAATTAGCTAACCATCATGTTATCATTAAGGTAATGTTTTCCTTATGATAAGAGGTTTGTTGTAAAGGAAGCCATAACTTACTATATGTTCATGTATTTATCTCTGTCCTTTGGCTCATAACCTACTTGTAGTTCTTGTACTGTAGCGTCACGGAGCTCCATGCATAGCACAATTTGCTACACTCTACACAAGAAACAAAACAACCGAGTCATCTGTTTTGTCACTATGCACATGATTGTAATGGAATCATGGGAAAGTCCATTGAGGCTGGGTTACTCTGCCAAATCACATGCTTGCCCTGTTCTAACTAGGCCAATCCCTAACAAAAGTAGACTAAAAAGTATCAAGTCTGCATCACACTCCATTGGTTTTTGAGTTTAAAGTCTATTTGCCATAGTTTGCTGTGTGGCAGACTATTTGGAATTGCATGTTTATTTGACTGTAAGCTACCCCATAGCAGCCAGTATTTCCTTATAGTGTCTAAAGTGGTATTGAATTTCAGCTGGTTTCAAGTAACCAATTCATTCACATACCTCACTTAAATAGACTGTCTCAACTCCCACAGCAATTCCAGATATCTGAAAGTCATCATTATGATTCCCTTGTCCAAAGCATCAATCAATGACTGTTCAAATCTGTTTCCAACAAGTCAGAAGTGAATATTATGGCCCTATAAAAAATAACTTTATAAATCCTGCTCCGTCCAGTGAACTGTGATCAACCTTAAGAAAGTCTACACTGTCAGTTCATCTTCAATCAGAACATTACACTGAGCAAACTCTCTGCATTGTCAAGAAAAGGGAAGTGAGAACACACAGATGAGTAGGCAGACACAAGATAGTCATCTGAGCTGAGGGTGCAAAAAACTAAAAAAAAACACGCAGTGCATAGCAGCATTAGCAACATGAAGTAGTGGCAGCAGTAGCATATATTAACTGGAGCCCAACTGATACTGGACTTTTTTGAGGGCAATGTTTAGATATGGGAGTTTAAAGCTGCTGTAATCAATATTTCTATTTAATAATGTGTCACATGACTGTGTGTCTAATGTGAAAGGGGTCACTCCTAGTGAAGAACCCAATGAGAATTATCACCAGATTCTGCAGTTTCCTTCAGCTCCTTGGAGCATTTTAGCGTCTCTGTGTGCTCTCATCAGCGTCATTTCCAGCAGCTGTTCACAGTGAAAAACTTTGTAACAACTGGCTGGTGAACACTGTGGTGGACTTAAATCAATTACTACAACATAAACATTTTTGACTAAAATGCATCACATTTTATTTTTTTAATACTTTTGAAGTTATGTACTTGGCAGGAAATTCAACCATTTTCTTTGCACACAAATTATGTAATGTAATATAATGAGGACAGTGTCTCATGTTTGCCATTTCTGTTCTGCAGTTTCCTGTTACTTATCAGCCAACACAGACCTCAATGCTGACATAGCTGGAGTAAGATAATAAGGATTTACCGCTCATGCTCTAACCAAGACACTTGTAACTTTGCGCCAGTGCTAGCTTTAATATCAGTAGTGGTAGCAGCAGCAATGATAGCAGCAGTAGTTGCTGTAGTAGTGTTTGTATTAGAAGTAGTAGGGCAACAGTGAGGTTTGTGGATTGTTTGTGAAAAGAAATGGTAAATGAACCACCTCTATTGTAATAGGGAGGAAGAAGAGAAGGTTATCTCACTGTAAGCTGTGCAAATAAAACCAAAAGAATAAGGCAAAACGACCCTTTAAACTCACATACAATATATATGTGGTCTCAGACCAGGTTAATATTACAGTTCATGTAAATACTTTCTGTCTTTTAAAAAGCCAATGCAATACTGGAGAAGGATAAATACTACACAAAAGGGATATTTCTCAAACTGCAACAAAAAGTTGTTCTTAAAAATGGCTTTCAATTAAGATATAAAGCATCAATAAATGGTCTAAAGCCATTAGATGAAACTTATTAGCACTTAAGCATAAACAGAAATATGTTTCACTGCAATAATGGAAACGTGTAGGATTTTTATACAACTATATAACTATATGGACATCATATACAGAGGGGTCCAGTTATATATTTGTATAGTTGAGATTTAAAATACACAAGGATAGGGCAGTGTAAAGTTAAATTCCTAATTGGTCGCCAGGTGTTTTTGATTATGAGTTTGATGCGTTAAGGTCTTAGATATTAAAGTTAGCTTACCTTTTTTGCCCAAAGACATAACAACCGCGGATTATTAAGATTGTTTTATGGAAGAAAAGTAAGGGGAATTGTTGAACTGTGCGTTACTCTGTGAGTTGTTGTCAGCACAAACCCTGCAGCCAGTCCACACTTGTCAGCACAGAGGAGCCTGTCGCCACTGGCTGGTTTTAGCTAACAGTTAGCAAACACATCTGTGTAGCGTTAACGTTACACTGTCTGGTGGAAAGGACTCATTAATAGAATGTAAACACACTCACCACGCCTGTCCATCCTCTGGTCACGATGACAGTCTCCACATTCCTAAATAACGGGCTGTCTTGTTAAGACTGAGCTTGTTTGAAACATGCAGCTGCCCCAGTTACAAACTACAGCTTTCTACGGGAAGTCGCGCTGTCCAAAACAGTCACAATCGCTTATGCGCGGAAAGAGCGTCACGCTGAAATCGGTGTGTTTACTGAGGGAACGTAGTGCTTACAAAAACTGCTCAGATCCTTCATATTGAAGCTCATTATTTCTAATTAACAACATATTTTAGAATTACATTTTGTTCTGATAAATAATTCAAAATGTATTATAAGTTTGATAAACAATTTCTATTTATATAGTTTGAGGCTTTTTCTAATTAAATCTTACACATTTCCTCGAGGGCAGTGAAAATTCACAGAAAGATCGTTTGGTTTCTGGGCCACCACTTGTAAAGTGCTAATAAGTTTAAGTTAATGACTATAGACTATTTATTAATGCTTTATATTTTTATTAAATGACGTTTTTGAGAACAATTTTTTGAGTGCAGTTTGAGGAAAATCCCTCAGGCTCGTTTTTATCCTCCAGCACTGCATTGGCTTTTTAAAAGACATAAATTATTTACATGAACTGTAATATTAACCAGGTTACTGTAGAGCCCCTGCTTATATGCAGCTGGTCAATAATTTCTACTCAAAACACTAAGTTAGTAATAAATATTCATGGGTAAGAAATTAGGTTTCTTGGTCAAATTCTATCTTTGGTGCAGAGATTTCTCCTAATTACTAAATCCACACATCATGTAAGTAATAAACTCATGTTTTGCTGAAATTTCATTTAGCAAAGTCAAAATGTCTGCTGTGAAAATGGCACAGGTTCTACATCTTCTCTTTGGGCTTTTACTGAATATATTCTCTTTATGACAACATATGCACGTTTATTGTCATAATAACATTTAAAATGATCATCTTCACGTTTGAGATATGATGTTGTTATATCACATTTATAATCTTAGATAAACTGGTATCTCATTACAACAATAAAAATACCATAATATTTAAGTATCTTGTTGTAGTGAGGTCTTTATTTTCATACTGAAACTTTTTGGCAATTAAAAATGTCTGATCAGATTCTCCAGTGTTGTTCATTGTTTATTGTAATGGAAGTTACAAAGGAAATCAACAAAAGAGTACTGTGTTCTTTCCTTATCCAAATGATAACACATGTTTGACTTCCATAATGAGCTCAGCACATCTTAATTAACAAATATTTAAATATTTACAGTCTGAAAACAAAGTTTGTGAGTAATTACAACAGAACCTAGTTTATTTAATCACTGCACACACAGATGTAGGAAATGTGGTCCAACTCGTTGCGTCACTTGAAATATTTTACTTCATAGGCCTTTCTGTCACCTTTTCTCACACTTGCCTGTTATTCTGTTCCCTTATACAATCACACTCACACACTCACGTCTCACACACTCATGAAAATCAGAAAAAGGTGCTGATGCAGGCAAAACTTCCTGGTTTACTCTTCTCTTCCACTTTGTGGATCTTGAGCCACCTGGATTTTCAGATGTTCAAGTAGCTGCAGCTTTCTTCTCTTTGTAAGTCGCCATCATTTTCTTGATCTCTGCAATTGCCTTTCCTGGGTTGAGTCCCTGTGGAGAAGTGAGTCAAACAGACTGTGAGAAACTTAAAATATTAACTCTTTGTGTGTGTGTGTGTGTGTGTGTGTGTGTGTGTGTGTGTGTGTGTGTGTGTGTGTGTGTGAATGATCTTAAGTACCTTGGGGCAGGTCTTGGTGCAGTTCATGATGGTGTGGCAGCGGTAGAGAGAGAATGGGTCCTGAAGTTTAGACAGACGTTCCTCAGTGAATTCATCACGGGAGTCAATCATCCACCGATACGCCTGTGGGACAGTAACAGTGTTCATGTGCTGTTTGCTTCATCAGAAATATTTCATGCACACTGGCACATTGGCTCTGGAGTCACGACTGGTGGTAAAATGATAAATAGAAAAAAAAAACTTTGATCCAGAGTGAAATATCTCAATTCGATGGCAACGACTTCAAATTTCCCACATGTCAAACACTTGAGTTCATGACATGACACCTCTTAAAATCACAAATGAATTCTTTTTAAGTTTTCTTTTTGGCATTTTTTCCTTTATTTTGATAGCTACAGTGTGAGAGAGACAGGAAAGTCAGGGAGAGAGGGGGATGACATGCAGCAAAGGGCCACACGTCGGTCTCGAACCCCGGCCGCTGCGGTTAGGACTGAGCCTTTGTGCTACGCGCTCTACCATGAATTTTAGTTTGCCTTGATGTTGGGACACTTATCTCACATCTAAATACGTTTAAGATACACGATCTCTTTGCTCACCTGCATTAGAACTGCAGGTCCCAGGTATTTGTCTCCATTCCACCAGTAGCTGGGGCAGCTGGTGCTGCAGCAAGCACACAGGATGCACTCATACAGGCCGTCCTGTTGGGTTAAAGACAAAAGTTTATTCCGTGGTGCTTTACGACTCCATAAGCAGAGCATGTTACTATCATTACAAATGTGACTCTGCTGTTATATCACTTGTGTATCTGTCTGTGTTTCTCACAGTAAGAAGTTGGTTTATTTACCAGTTTTTGTCTGTCCTCCACTGACTGGAAATACTGCTCCTTCCCTTCTTGAGTTTCATCCTTCTTTTTCAGGTAGGGCTCAATGGACTTGTACTGCGCATAGAAGTTGCTCATATCCTGGTGGAAATGATATGAGGAAGAAGTCATGACATGCATTCAAACAACCAATACATATACAACATTAAACTCATGCTATTTTATTCACGTCGGCCCTCATCATGCTGCAACAACTTCAAATATGGCCGTGGAATTAAGTCTTTTTCCACACTTGCGGTACTTACAGGCACCAGATCTTTGACCACATACATGTGCGGGAGTGGGTAGATCTTCGTTGGTTTGCTCGTGTTTGTGTCAATTTTGTTAAGGCACGCCAATGTGTTGCCTCCATTGATGTTCATGGCACATGAGCCGCAGATACCTTAGGAAACACAGAGTCAGGGGGGTCACTAAAATCTGACCCAGAGGTTCATGTTTCCATGTTTCATTTATTTTTATTTGCTTTTTAATCTGAGTGAAACTTGTTGACATTATGTGCAAGTTGAATCCAGATGTTCTTTGTTTCTTACCCTCACGGCAGGAGCGTCTGAACGTGAGTGTGGGGTCGATCTCGTTCTTGATCTTAATGAGTGCATCCAGAACCATTGGGCCACAGCTATATTAAAAGGAACACATCAATAAGTTATGACTGTAAAAACTACAAACTAAAAAGCTCAGCAACATTCTGATAATGGACCTGGTCGCGACTTACGTGTTTAGATCAATATCATAAGTCTGCATTCGTGGTTTGTCTCCGGCGGTGTCGGGGTCCCAGCGGTAAACCTGGAACTTCTTGATTCTGGGTTCAGGAGCTGGAGCAGCTGCAGTCTGAGCATAACGCACCATCTGTATCACAGATAAGAAACAGAAACAGTGAATATCATTCAAAGAGAAGTACCAAATTATTATAAAAAATGTTTTTTCTTTTATCCGTTCCACTAAAGCACCATCTTTCAGCTAAGAGAACAATAAAGAGTTATGTAAAAAACATAGGAAGGTCAGGACAGTGTGACCTAGCTGCTGGTTACGTCAACCAAGGCTAAAATGAAGCACCTATCCTGAGACACCAGAGGATACTATTAGTACTGCTACATCAACGCATATAAACAACGGCACCTGTATTGCACAAATCTAAAATAATTCAGAATAAAGTAACAATATAACACGATACAACAACAGGAGCATTTGATCAAACACCCAAATAATAAATAACTATGATATAATCCTTTAAAAACCATATCATGGATATTACAAAACATAATACTGAAAATATAAAAAATACAATTAGGATGTTTGAGGCACACTATCATGCTATAAATCAGTGTTATTACACGGTATCTGTATCAACAATTAAATATTGAAAAAGAGGAGGAATTAAATCATGACTTCTGAAATAAGATACATAGTCAAATATGACATACATACAAATAAAATATATACAATAAAAGGAAATAAATGCAACATATAAATAAGGAATTAAAAGAAAAGGAAATTTGGCCAGTAATGCAGTTTTTTTGCATAAGAAGGTATGAAGGCTCCCCCTAGTGGTAACTTGGATGAACTGTCATGGAAGTGTTACATCACTTTCCAGTCTTTGATTACCTAACTGACTCTTTAAGGACAATGAAACTTGGGCTTCAGAAAATAATCTGAATATTTCTGTATAGTCATAAGAAGTAAACAGATATTTATTTCCTTAAACTGCTAAGAAGAAGAAAAAATGATTTTTTTTATTTCAGTTTTTAATAAGAGCTCAGCTAAACATTTATTATAGTGTACTGAAAATTAAATGTATCCTATATTTATTCACGTTTTACAGTGAAGCAGGTAGAACTAGAATAGATCTCTTTAATGTTTTGTGACATTTACACACTAAACCTGTGAGCAGGGTGTGTTACTACAGACAAAGCTAATATCACACACATCAGGATGATAAACTGTAGCCTAGCATAAACCAAGAGACATGTCTGTACTAATACTAAGTAAAGTTATTAATAAAGTTATTTAGTACTCACCACCATCGTGCCGGCATTCCTAATGGCCAAAACATTTCGACTCAGGGCGACACAGACCACCGACATCTTTCTCACCGGTTGTGTTTATCTATGTAACTTCACTACAGCAGAGAGAGGTCCACGCACTGGTGTCTGCACTAGACTGTATGTAAGCCGAAGCTCCGCCCTCTACGTGCGTCACGGTTGTTGCCTTCACGGGCTTCCTCCTAGCTCCTTCATCTGACTGTTACAATGCAACTGGCGCACAAATACACAATTGTGCTGCGGCCGGATGGGAGTTATGACAAATTAATCTTCAAGCATCAATATGGCACCGGTCATGTTTTCATATGAAAATTGTTTTTCACTTAATTAGGATGTAAATGTATGCCTTATCCATGAATAACATATTTATCCGATAGCACATGAACGCAGTATATGTAAGAGCCTCTTTCACAACTCTCATTGCTGTGAACGAGGGTCAGTTATATATATGTTGACTGAAAACATACAGCGCTGACTGGTGATATATGTGACATCGGAGGAGCGAGGGGGGCAGTTTATGGGGGTCCAGCTGATGTTTTCCCAAAAGCCCCAATCTTATATCAAGTTTATCATAACATTATTCATATTTATAACTTCTAACTAATCGTCTCTCTGACTGGACCGACAAAGCAACTGAGCTCTATTAGTACTATACTGGGGAAATAGCCATTTATATTATTATTTATTTTTGGCGAGCCATGAGGGAACATAAGTAAGAGAGCACGGGGACAGGACAGGACAACCTGTGGACCAGGAGAGGAAGCAGGAATAGAAAGAGAGAGAAAAGCTGAAGTTAGGAGAAGAAGAGAGGAGAAAAATGTGTTATGAACAACCAGGAGGAGAGGGGTGGAGAACGGGTGAGAAGAAGACAGAAGAGGATGTCTGGATTTGAAGAGTGAAGAAGAGAATAGAAAGGGAGGGGTGAGAGAGAAACTGAGGAATGTGAAAACTTGTGCACGTGAAGAGAAAGAGGGATGGGTATGGAGGTTCATTTGTCTCAATATTATTTGTATGAACTGATTGACAATCAGTGAGTAAATGTGTGATCTGTACATATAAAATACCTTCAACAAATACAAAATTACATTTGTAAACTCACAAAAAATATCTTGCAAATATATAACGGATCTACAAACAAATTTCATGAATAAAAACAAACCTGTGAATACAGAATAATTAATTTACAAATAAATGAAAAGCATTAGTGAATATCTTCCTAATATTTACAACTTTCAAATAAAACATTTTTGAATCAATTATCGTTTCTCTACGCCTGCTGATGGCGCTATTTCCGCTTTTCAAAGTAAGAGCACGCAGTCTTCTTTGAGCTGTTTTATTTCCTCAAATAATCGGCTACAAGCGACAGAACCTGGTTAAGGTGTTTGATATTATGGCTTTTGGTGTTGATATTTGTTTAGTTAAAAAATGACATATTATAATTTTATTGTTGCTCAATGCTAACGTTGACTACTAAACCGGAACCGTTGCCAGGGTGACAGTAATCAGTCATGTTGCAGACTGAGGGAATGAAAGCAGGGTTAGACCACATTTCATTCCCATCCAACCTGTAAAGAGATAATTGGTGTCATTTCTTTACCATTTAGTTTATTATAATCATTCAGTCCATTTGCTGTTTATAACATAATTGTTATTTTCTATATGTAGGCTATACTCAGTTATCTTAATTTGTCCTGTACAGTCACTTGAACAGCCAACTCATCTCTTACAGGTGGTAATAGTGAGGAATATGTCATAATGCACAATATATACTAAATAAGTGAAAGACAGGCTACAAGGTTCATGTATTTATCATTTGACACAGGGTTGTATAACAAGCTGAGACGCAATATTAACATTGTTAATGTTGGGACATTAGACTCAGTGTTATGTTTCAGAAAAGCTGTTTATTCGGGAAGAATAGATTAAACTCATCATGCAAACATGCACTATATAAAAAGAGGTCACTGTAAATGTGCATTTAATGACATTTTACAAATTTTCTGCCAAAACGAGTTATCTAGATGATTACAATTGTACATAGTATCTTGAATTTCCTAGCAGTTTGCTAATGCTAATGGTAATGGGAGGCTGGGGGGCTGCTTGCTTGCGCCCCCCCACCCCCACACACACACCCCCACACCTCCACACCCCCACTTAGCCTTCACTAGTTACTCATCACTAACTGCTGAGCTTAAGTAACTAGCAGATGAATAGCATGCCTACCTGTAACCAACTACATCAGACATCCCACTGTTTCTGCTGCTGTGATGCTAGCCGGCTAGCCAATATTACCAGTTACAACTGCTTACGTCTCAGACCCATGGCAAACATGTTGTTTACAGATTGTTTCAACAGAAAGTCTGGAATTGTGATTTAAATAAAGCTATTGTAAGATGATGCAGGCTGCTGTTAAGGATGCTTACCTTGTACAGTGAGAGAAGAAAATATTAAACCAAGATGGCGTCCCACACAGAACACACCTCAAAACTACGGTGTCCCACAGCGGCCAAACAACACCAAAACCTGGATTCACCTGGGAATAAACATCGCAACTGCGACACTGAGTGGCTTATTTAGGCTGCTGCTCTACACATGTGTAACTGTATGTATACATGTATGTACAGTATATGCCTGATAGTATACATGTATGTGCAAGTGCTTAGTACCAGTATATTTGTATGTGCAAGTGAAGTACTCAGCTTTGGACTAGCAGCTTCTCAGAGAACTGACTAAACCTGAGTGAGACACATTGATATTATGGATAACAGCAAACTGAGAAATACATTTATTGAGCACAGAATAGATTTTAGTTTGCTCAGGTTACAGTATTATTTGCTCAAAAATATTTTTTCTTCAAAATATAATTTGTGTGTTTGCAAAATGTATTTGTCTGTGCACAAAAAGTCCCACTGTGTACTCAGGAATGAGGCACAAACATAACTCAATACTTTTACACACAGTAATTACCATAAATGTACATTTAAAGGTTCACCCTTTGGTTTCTAACTTTAGAGGAGAGTGCAGCATGTTCACAAATATTCACCAGTTTGTTCTGGGTCTCAGGAATAACAAATGTGAATTCTTAAAAAGGGCTGGATTCTCTTTTAAATGCACAATCCATGATTATGATATAGTGTTCCATCCTCAAAGCATCTGGAAAAATAACAGCCCAAAATTATAAATATTAATGTCATTATAGAAGCCTATTGGGAACTTTATTAAGATGATCATGCAAACTTGAAAATGAAAATGTAATTCCATGATAGCAATGTAATTTTTCACACATGTATGTGTTCTAGGATTACACTGGACTCGACTTTCCAGGGATAGATGAGTGGAGTGAGAGAGTGAAAGAAGAAGAAAAGATGAGGGAATGAGAACAGAATGATGAGTAGATCAAATAAAATACTGTCCGATAATATTACAGTACATGTCTATGTTGTTTATCCTATGATGCTATTCCTTAAAGAGATTTATTATAATTGGAGTAAATGTTCTTCATATTCAGTTCAGTGGGTCTCGGTTCGCTTTGTTCTCAGTGGTTTGCAGACAGAAGGCTGGGGTTATATAACTTCCTGGGTGTGGTTAAGAGGATGACAGGTGATTTGCAGGTGAGGCAGGGTATTAGATTTAACAGTAAGTGTAGTTGCCCAGGTGGTCAGAACAGAAACGTCTGAATGAATAAAGCAGCACTGTCCTTATTATTCTGCTCTTTACTTCAGGAGGACGTGTTAAAGAAGCGCTTGCTCATATACATGCAGGAGCAGACTGTACAGCTGGAGCATCAGAGTAAAGTGAAAGTAGGTTTTGAGGGAAGGGGAGGGGCTATGCCTCTGAAGTGATGCTGTGATCATCTGTTACTGTGCTCAGAAGAAGTAACTGCTAAACCCTGATGTCAGTAAACATAACACCAACAGCTGCTTTGGTGCAGATGAAGGGCGAGCAGATCCAAGTCCAGGGGGAGGAGAGATGGAGGAGACAAAGTAAAAACCAAGCAGAATGGAATTAACTCTGTACACACCATGATATTCTGACTGTGAAACACAAGGTTTATCTAAAGGGAATATACAGTTTGTGTTACATTTAAATGTAATGGTTGTTTTCTCACCTCTAGAGGGCACAACATCAAGACCAACCTGCCAGAGAGATGATGATCAGCTCAGGCAACAGGTAAACCTATAACAAGAGGTTATGATAATAATAAGTGAGACTATACTGATTTAAATTGGGTCAAATGCACAGCTCTGTCAGAAGTTGCTATAAGCATGAAGATATTAATTAATATCTGCTGCTTTTCCTCACAGCTACCACTGAACGACCTGAAGCTCATGCCCAGGTGGAGCGGGTGGATCCAGACCTGATGAGATCCACCTGAAAGCTGCTGAACACCGACAAACTGTCCTTGAATCTAAAAGGTGAAGGCAAAATGACTTTCCACTTTTCCTTAATCCTCAGAGTAACTGGCATGTTATCTTCTACCATCTCTCTAAGCTGTAAGTTGCTGTTAAACAAAACTCCCAGAGGGCCGCAGTGAGAGTCGCCGCCACAGTGAGGCAGTCGGTGTGATAATTGTGTTTTGTTCCTGGCAGGACGACGGGAGCAGTGTTTGGGGAAGGATTCAGGGCCTTCATCTCTGACTGGGACAGACTCGCTGCCACGCTAAATCCATGTCAGACCTGTCACACTTTCACCACAGGAGGACCGCAGAGGATTATGGGAGCCAGTGGTCTTCGTATCTGATATTTGTGCTTGTGTGAGAGAGCTCCAGGTTAACAGTTACAGAGGCCGTCTAACACCCAATAAAGTCAAACTAGATCCAGATTTTCATGTTTTTACTATTTATTGTGGCTGATTAAAATCCAACTCACATCATCTACACAAGAATTAGATATGTGCATAAAAATATTATATTTTAAAGACCTTTAAATGCTTTTTACATGGGGATTATTATATAAGCACCACTGTTCATAAATAACAGTGAAATGTCGGCAGCCTTGTCGTATTTGAAGTCTTCGACATCAGTGTGTAACAGCTGGAAGCGCATCTAATTTATTTTCTGACAAGAAAAAAAAAAAAAGCATAAATGGATTTGTTTATTTGTTTATCATCATCTGCAGCACTTCCTGCCAATCCTGCACCACGCACTGAATCTGGGGGAGTTTTTGAACGTAACGTAGAAATAGCAAAATCTTCAAATATGCCATTAGTTCTACCAATGAAGTGTGTGAAATGAGCAAATACACTCATTTTATTTCTCAAACACCAAAACAATAAGGGAGGTGGTTATTTTCACGACAGCTTTGGTTGTTTTTTCACATTTTTACCCCCAAAAAATCTGTAAAACGGACACGAAGCTGAACATTTGAATTTGTCAGTAGAGAAGCAGAAGAGACTCACGGGTGATAAAGTGTTAAAATGATGAAGCTTTTCTACATTTTATGAGTAGATCATAACAAATTCTCTCGTTAAGTCGGGGCCAGGACGCCAATCACTGGCATATATTTCGGGAATGTCCAGTAATAAGACATTTCTGGATGGAGACACACAAAATATTGGAAAGCATATTCAATACAAACATACCTTTCCAGTTTAGCACCTTTATTTTAGGAAGTTGAATTTCAATCAGCCCACTTCAATGAACACTTGTTTAGTGTACAGATATAGAGGAATGGACAGATATAGTTAATGAAGAATATACAATGGGAAAAATGACCTTTTCACTTTGCCAACTATAACTATAATATTAATCATATTTACAATAATTTTCAGGTAAATGATGTTAGGTTGTACAGCACTATATTTTCTATCTTTAGCTTGTTACTTAGTATTTTTAAGACCAAAGATCTTTCCATTACCTTTCAGAACCTGGCTCTCCATATGCCATCATGACAGGTGGGTACGTGGCACCCATGGGGCGCGATGAAATCACTGCCATGCACAAGGTGTTTGACTTGGCCGGCACCAGCAGCTGAGGGTAGGGCACTTTTAATTTGCTCCTTTAAATTAGCACTGAGCGCTGAAGGAGCAGCAGCAAAATGGCAGTTTTATTCTCTTTGATGTTCTCTGACTCTCTGCAGCCTCTCGCTGTTCGTAGATGAAGCTGATGCTTTCCTGCGTAAACAGGCCTTGGTGAGTTCAGCGGCAGTGCCATATGCACGGTGATGATACGCTGTGTTTTGATCATATATGCATGAGTCATGATTTTTGCAAGAGAAAATCAGTGAGCACCTCAGAGCTACGATCCATGCTTTCCTCTATCACACCGGGGAGCGGAGCAACAAGTTGGTGTCTTACATTATTCACTGTGCATGGCTGGGCATGAAAAGGTCATCGCCATGACTGAAAAGGTCGCTGGCCGGGTCTTAGTAGTCTCATTTCCTCTCCTCAGGTTCATGCTGGTGCTTGCTAATAACCAGCCGGAGCAGGTTGACTCGGCTGTAAACGACGCATTGAGGAGATAGTAAACTTTGCATTAGCAGGTCTGGAGGGGAGGGAAAGATCGGTACGCCTGTGTTTTGAGACGCTCACATTGCTTCAATAACCTCGACTGTGTCTGCTCTGTAGCAGAGGTGATTTACTACCAGAAAAGGAAAGCATTGGTCCCCAGAGGTCGCCTTGCTAGCTCAAGTTGCATAATGGTGTGTAAATGTGTTCAGTCCTGAAACCAAAGTGATGTCTGAGTCTTAACTTACTGCTTTCATGAAAGGGTCTTTAAGTCCTAATGAAGTTGTGCACAGGCAGAGTGCGTTGGTCAGTTTGAAACCAGTAGACGTAGATGATCAATGACAGGAAACAAGTAAGCTCACTTACTGTGCAGACAGACCTCTGCTTTAACTCAATGGGAGATTAGAGTAAGCTCAGAAGTGTGCAAAGTACAAAGAAATCTCTAAACTTGCTTCAAGTCAAATCCAAAGCTGGTGTTTTTGTAGAATTTATTTTTCCTGGACATTGCCACCTACTCCTCTGAACATGAAGATGAAGAGTTCTGACTGGAGCGATGATTGACTCAAGAGTTGATGATGGCATCAAGGAGCGTGCACAGAAAATGGAGCGGCTGCTGATAGAAGCAGGTGTGTGTGTGTGTGTGGTTGGGTGGGGGGGGGGGGGTTGGCAAGGTGAGCGTACTGCTCCCTAAGGAACTGGCTGCAGGAATCATAGTCCAGGAAGCTGCTTCACTTGCACAAAGTGAAGATACAATGACAAACGTGCAACAAGACCTACCACTGCTCCCGGTACTTCCATCCTATTGGTGCAGGAGGTTGAGGCCGGCAGCCAGAAACCTACTGGAGCTGGACTCTCCCAGGAGAATATTGTCCAGGAAAAAGAGTCAGCAGCTACCTCTGTTGATGGTGGAGAAACCGAAGCCACTAAGACTGTTGAGGAAGGAGCAAGTGATAGCAAGTGAGGCTGAAGCAGCAGCAGATGATGTGGTAAGGTGGCAGTAGTCACTAAGGAGGTTGAAGCGACGGAAAGGGATGTTGTCAAGGACGTAAATGAGGTTGTAGTGGAGGTTACTTTGGTGGTTACTGAATAGGTTGAAGTGCTAGTTAAAGAGACAGGTCAAATACATGTGGTAACAGAGGTTAAGGAAGCTGAGGTCAACCCAACAGAGGAAGAACCCAAGGAGACTCAGACTACTGCCTCACAGTTGACCACAGAGGCTGAGACTTTGGCTACAGAGCTTGTGAAAGACTCTTTAACCTCAGAGATTGACGCCAAGGAATCAGAAGTCGTCCCACCAGATGTTTGCGAGGAAGCAGATGTCCTACCAATGAAAGTAATCCCAACAGAAATTAGTGTCGAAACTGAAGCCACAGCTTCAGAGGTAGGACAAGAGGCTCTGGCAGCAGCTGCAGACTTTTGCCATGGAGACTCAAAGAGTACAAGTCCTACCAATGAAGGAGGCTGACACTGTGGCCACAGGAGATGTGAAACTACTGAGGTTGCTGCCAAGGAAGCTGAGGTAAAGCCAACAGAGTCTGTAGAGGAGGCAGACACTGTAGTAAAAGAAGTCTGTGTTCAGGAGGTTGATACAGAGTCTGTTGTGTTATAATCTACTGAGTCCAACCACAGAGAAGTCAACTGCCTCAGCGCTGATGAAGCTGAACCCAAACAAAAGCCAAAGACAAGTCCAGTTCAATGAAACGACTGATCGCTCCTCACACAGCTTCCCCAATAGCTACAGTTCACACCAGGTGTGTTTTTGTCTCCTGCTGGTTGCCATACAGGTGTCTCAATTACTCAAGCGCTCCAAGAGGAAATTCATCAACAGAAATTATGGAAATCAATGAATCACTTGAGTAATGGATTCACTGGATTCAGCCTTTTCTCACTTTTATATCACTTTCATTTTACTATCTTCAATTGAGTGATTAATCAATAATGAAAACCATTAGTTTCAGCTGTATATTTGATATATTTAAAGAATTACTGACATTGTGAACACCTGCAGTATCTATGACTGTCCATGAGCGGAGAGGTACACATGTATTTTCTAAAGAATATCCAACCAAGGGGAAAATGTTGTTTTAAATGCCCTCGCAGCCTCTGCAGCGTATCACAATGTACCGCTGGATGATAACGGTGGAGGGCTTTTCTCAGGAGCTTCAGGATGTCATCAGCATTGTTAGTCATTTTTAAGTGTTGTTAGTAAGTACTTATGAAATCCCCATTTGAATTTATAACAGAGAGAGCTGAAGTTGTCAGCGGGACCTCTCTACATAATCGCTCTGTTGTCGGCGCTCTGGAATAACCTCTCGCCATGAGAACGCGTACTCGCCTTCGCTCGTGTGACTGGAATGACACAATCAAACATCAGAGGTCACTGTTGTGCTTCAATGGCACTTTTAATAAAACAGACATTTCATCCTCACAACAGCAATGTCTGGACAGAGAGGGCGAGGGGGGGGCTGGGTGAGGGTTCCCTCTGCTGATAGGCTGGTTGCTCCTGATAAGTGAGAGGGAACTGGATAAAGAAAATTGAACTGTGCTGTTGAGCACAGTGTGGGGAAGATGGAGAGTGATGTGTGTGTGTGTGTGTGTGTGTGTGTGTGTATTGAACTGACTCATCTTGGCTGGCATTTATTTCTCCTCTCGTGTCTTCTAAAGAATGATAATATAGCGAAGAGAACCCTGACCACAACTGTACACGCTCCCCTCCCCCTCACATATTTACAGAAAAAATTAATACATTCAGTTAATTCACTAAGTAACAAAGCTAATTAATCTGTGTTTTTAGCAGAAATCACATGGTTTCACATCCAGTTTTCAAACAGACTCGTCCCTCTGTTCCACTTCTGTAATCTTTCCCTGCACGCTGTCCATCATTAGGGTTTTCTATTGATAACCGAATCACACAAAAATCCCCCCACGCACCCCCTCTTAAAGACTTAAATCCCATTTGCCCGTATTTATAACTATTTACAGAAGCAGCAATCTAACTATCACAAAAACCCACCCACCCACCAGTCTCATTCGCCCCTCCCCACTCCAACAAAGTCCCCCTCCCACCCACTAGAGAAAAAAAATATCATGACACCCGTCTTGCCGCCCTGTTCCATACACTGCCCACATCTTACCCTGTTCTAAAAGAGCATGCCAAGTTTAACAATGAACACAGAAAATGTCTCTATACAGAAAAAACACCCTTAAAAATGTTTTTTTTTTCCTTCCTCCTCCCACAATGGTGGACATGGACATAAGACAAGATTTCAGTGGCAACAAATAATCGTCATCTTGCTCCATTTTGGGATTTTTTTTTAGTGCTGACAGGGGCCAGGTTTAGTCATAAGAAAGTCCTGTCATTGGGGGTTTAAGGGGGCCATGTTATGAACAGTGGGAGGGCAGTTTTCCAGGGTCTCTGAGGCAATAGTTGGCCATGGGGCAGTTTGGAAAGGGAGGTGAGGGGTTTTGGAAAGGAAGGGAGGAGGTTTTTTTTTAGAGGAAGGGGATCTAGGTTTGTTTGTTTTTTTTTTGTTTGTTTTTGATTTTGTTGTTTAGTTTTTCAGAGTCAGAGGTGGCGGGGGCTGGGGTGGCCGTTGTGGTAGAGCTTCTGCTTGATGTGGACCATGTTGCCGCTGGAATCCTCCAGTTGTCGGAGCTGCGCTCGGCGACGGAGGTCTCGAAGGTTGCAGAACTGGGGCAGCCATGACCAGGAGGGGGTATCTGGAGGAAAGAGAGGAGAGGCTGTCAGAGGAGGCAGGTGTTGCAGGTGTTACTGAAGGATTGGTTGTATCATAGAGTAAAGAATCACAGATAACTCCAGGACCAGATTAACCTGCGATAGGTGCCCTGTGTCAAAAATAAGCAGTGGGTTTATTACCACCCTCCCACCACAAACCCACCCAGCCTATTGTTTCCAAATTTGTTTAAGTGATAACATAATGAAACATACATTTATTAAAGAATATTCAAATAATATCAACTGAAAAATAAATTTATGAAAGATATTTAGACTATATTTTGACTAAGGGCCTCAAGATTAATGAAAATGCAACAGCTGCTTTGACGCCCATTTAATTTAATTACCACAAATAATTGGACATGCAGTTTCCCACTTTCATTTTCCAGCCTTGAGTAATACACAGTTGGATACATATGCACTAAATAAGCCTGAAGGGAAAATACATGAATAAAATGTCCACACTTTTTTTGTTTTTAACGAAGCAGAATCAAACCTGCAGTGTCTTTATTTACTACATTATTAAATTGTTTCAGTTTAATAAACAATTGAGAGGGAACAGTGTCAGGGCCGTGGCGTGGATTTTACAAATACTGAGGTTTTGATTCGACGATTTTCAGGGTAAGATTAACAAATTAATCCTTTCCAGACATATGTATTAGAAAGTGACTTGATTTCTTTCTTTTTTTTAAAGGTTACACAAAGTGCAAAGATAGGAGCCAGGAAAGCGGACACCATTAAACAATGTTGTTATGTATATTATCAACCACTCAAGCTGCAGGAAATATGGTCACAGTCTCTTCTTCCCGAGTTACAGAGCTGAATAATGACCAGAAGTGTTTTTGCAGAGCATTATGATGTCACAGTGACCTTGACCTTTGACCTTTTCCCACCAAATTTGAATCATCCTTGAGTCCTAGTGAATGTTTGCGCCAAATGTAAACTAATTCCCTCAAGGTGGTCTTAAGATATCACATTCAAGATGCCAAAATGTGTTTTGTGAGGTCACACTGAACTTTGACCTTTGACCACCAAAATCTAATCAGTTCATCCTTGAGTCCAAGAGGACATTTGTGCCAAATTTGAAAAAATTCCCCAAAGACGCTACTGAGATATCGACCCCGAAAACATTAAAAAAAATTGATAACATATTGGATAAGCTAGTTTGTTATAAACAGTGTGTATATAGATTGAATAGAGTACAAACAGAAACAGATGGGAAACATGGGGATAAAATAAAGTATACGACATGCAACAAATGCCCACAGCCAGAATCAAACTGAAGTTATGATTATACACTGACATTTTAGATTACACAGAGTTTCAATGACAAACAGCCATAAATTTGAAAGTGAGAGGAAACAGAACATTTCAGACCCAGGGAGGAAACGCCTCCGTATTCTATCAAAATCACAACATTTCACAATATTGATTATTTCATCCTCCGTTTCCCTTCTTTACTTCTGCTCACATATACACAAAACTGTGTAATCTCAGTCTCCGCGGTTTATTGTTCGCCAACATTGTCTCCCTTGTGTAGCTGTGCAGACGCGAGCAAAGAAAACTGAATGCGGCCTTTCGCAGACTCCAAAGCCAAGCTGCTATAAGACACACTCATGAGATCAAGACACACAATGGTGTAAAATCCTTCTTAGCCTGGTTTTCTGGCTCCAAATCCAGTTAGAGGCAGACGGGACATATCAACAACCAGCAACACAGACCGCTAATCTCTGTGCTGGGAACTGTACGTGTCCGAGTCCAAGCAAGCTCGTTTTTTTTCTCCTGGAACATGTAGAAAAATAATTTGGGGCTGTCAGTTTGTGCTATCTCTGACGTGATGCATGATGTGATTCATTCCCACGGCGGCCTAAAGATCACTGTCCTACCCTGACGAGGAAACAGTTCTGAAGTCCTGTGTCTCTAAATCATATCTTCCATACTTCATTTAATATTTTCAAAGATCCAGTGAAACCAAAAAAAAAAGACTCAGAATCAGACGCCTGGAGGTTTTTGTACTCCACTGCATAAAAGCGAGTTCGGAGCTCCACACGGACCTCAGACGGGAGAAAGCGGATGTTTTAATGTGTCTTTTTAGCCGCCGGCTTTATCACAGCTGGAACAACTTTTAATTCTGGGAAGTAGGGGCTGAGCGTTTTACAGTGACGTAGATAAAAGCTCGGGAAGCTGATATATTGGATGCGATCGGTAAATGGCGCCAATCTCTCCAAGTGCATCGCGGCGTTGCCCTTGATTCCCAACCTTCTGCGTTGTTGCACATGTGACTGGGCGTCATCCCTCTACGGTCAGAGGGATGAGACCAAGCGTTGTGAAATCAGTGGCCGTCCGGAAACGAAGCAGGATTTCATGAACGTGTGGTGTACAATGTGAAGAGGGGAATGGCGGAGCAGACATTCGGGCTTGTCGGGTTATAAAGTGGAGCCGGTGAGGCGGAGCGAGGTCCACAGAGACAGGAGAGAGAGAGAGAGTGAGCGTGAGAGAGAGAGAGAGAGAGAGGGAAGGAGGGGAGAGCCCCAGACAAGCAAACCCAGTAGCAAATGGCCCTGCTGGAGGATGAGCGAGTGGAGGGGTGGTGGTGGTGGTGGTGGTGTAGTTGGGGAGGAGAGGAGGGGGAGGTGAGGTGTTGGGTGGAGGAGAGGTGAGGAGGGAGGGAGAGGAGTGAGTTATTTATAGCTGTGAATGGGTATGCTGTCCACAAGGACTGCTCTGAAGGGTATCCAAAGGAAAAGGGGCAACGAAGACAGGTTTTTCTCATTTGAATAAAAGGATGGAGACGGAGATGGAGTCGGGAGAAATGATAATGCAAGGGGCAGAAAACGGGAGGCGAAGACACAATTGTTATGCTCTGTTAGAGGAGAGGCAAAGGAGAAGAAGAGGAGGAGGAGGAGGAGGAGGAGGAGGGTAAGGTGGGGGGTGGGGGTTTAATGCTGAACGCCAAGTCATCATTTTCTCCATTTCTGAGATATATATATATATATATATATTTTTTGTGTGTGTGTGTTTCTCTTTCCCCCCGTGTCTTTGCAAAAACAACAGACTCTGGTATCGGATATTCACGGCACATTAGCGATAAGAAGAAAAAAAAAAAGTAGTTGCAGCAGGAAGCAGTGTAAAGGAAATGGCCAGGAGGAGATTCAATAAGTGAAGAGGGAGGGGAGAGGGAGGAGCTAGAGATGGAATTAGGAGGGGGAAAAAAAAGGCAATGGGAATCAACGTGTATCTCAATGCGCTGTGTGTGTGTGTGTGTGTGTGTGTGTGTGTGTGTGTTTCTCACTTGCCATTCCAGCTGCTCTCTCTCATTCTATTTATAGCTCTGGCAGAGAGAATGTGTGTATGTGTGTGTGTGTGTGTGTGTGTGTGTGCAAGTGGGGGGTGGGGATATGACAGCATCTCCATCCCGCACCCCCAACACCCACACACACACACACACACACACACACACACACCCTACCCCGCCCTGTCAGCCTCACCTTCACTCCTCATCTCGGCGAGGCTAAACGAGTCTGACCTAGCATCAACGTCACGGCCGACACACACACTCACACACACACACACACACACACAAGCGAGGGGATATTCCCTCCCAGTGCAAAAGAAGAAGCCTATATCCCCCACTCTGTAACTGCTGCTAATGAATATGGATGCTTCCTCCTCTCTGGGTGTTTTTTTATGATGATGTATTTTACACTGTTGTACTAATGCACTGGAGAAAACAGCATTGTCTCAGCCGCTGCTGCAAAACCTTCCACACCTCTGCGCAAAGCAGAAGCCTGCAACTATTAAAGCTTGTATAATTCAAGCACCTTGTTTATTGGAGCCACATCTGAAAAAACTAAACAAAACAATAAACACTGAAGAATCTGATTCGCACGTGATATTTTTTTTATCTTAAAAACCCTGCTTCAGTACATGTTCAGATAACTTCTGAGTAATAGCCGTCATTCGTCTGATCTGATCGTTGCTTGATACTTTCCCATCTTTGCCTGAGGAGCTTTTCCATGGCGGTCCAAATATCCAGGTCACATATCACCTACTTTAGCATTATCTTTAAAACTGAGGAACCAGGCCACCTCCACAACACAGGCCTGCCCTGACAGCAGGAGAGCACACACAACATTCAACCTGAGTTCCTCCAAATCCTGTTTTTAAAGGCTTTTATTTTCAGCAAACCTATAAATTTAGCTAATTTGGGGCAAAAGAAAATAAAAAACTTTGTGAGTGCCCACCCCCCCGTAGATCTTAATCCTGGCAGGGTCAAGAAGCAGTGAAACGAAAGTAAAACACTGTAATCCAGGATGCTAACACTCTGTGTAGTTGGGCGGTTGATGACTCTTCAGCCGAGCGCCAGACTATGAAGGATTTCATGCTGTCATGTCGTGATTTCACACGTGCATCTAATAGCTGCTTAGCTTTACTGTGTCACTAAAAGCTTTTTTTTATTTTATTTTTTTGCTTGTGTCTGCAACAGCCACACAAGCCAAGAGATACTTGTGAACTGCACACCACGTTCTGTCTCATTAAATCTGCTTCGTTCCTTTTCTTGTACTGTGGTAACATGCATCCGTCATGTGTCAGGAGGAGATGAAAAAGATATTTCAGAGAAGGGGGGGGGGTTGCTGCTGACAGGAGACAGGAAATTAAGGAGCAACTATCACATCACGATTTAAACACATGGTATGTGGGAATGAAGCTTTCACTACAGCACAGCAGATGGTGGGAGTGAAGTCATTTCTCAGTCTCTGTTTCTCGGGTTTGAACCAGACTCACTCACTGCGTTTATCACACAAAAGCAATGTTTCTCATCAGACAGCTAATTTTTAGGCAGTAGTGAATATTAATTCATGTTATCTTTAGTGGAATGTGAATTGTCATGCTGTGCACTACACATATATATATATAGATATAGATATATATATCTATATCTATATGCATCTACACTCCCAGACACTTGAAAGCTGTGTCCCAATTCAGGGGCCGCATCCTTCAGAGGCTGCATTTGAAGACCGATTACGTCACAGCGGTGCGACTAGACTGTCCCATTTCGTTCAAATGCGGCCGAGAAATGCGGACTTCTTTTCCTGGGCCCAACCTATCCCAAGATTCATTGAGCGCAGGTAATTAAAGCAAACAGCACCAACAGAGAGCCTGAGGATTACACTTTTAAATGTAAGTATTGGGTTTCAGCTCAGTTCAACAACTAACGGTACAACTGTTAAAATCACGGGTCTTAAAACCTCAAGTGTCTGTGAAAAAAAGTTACGAGTATGTGATGCAACGGTAAGGTTGGGAACAGCTGGTGATGCACAGTGAAAATCCTCCGGAGACCAGACCATCTCATTTCGGTTCGGCCTTCGTGGCTACAACTTCATAGAACGCATCCTCCGAGGGATGCGCCGCCTGAATTGGGACACAGCTGATGTGTCTGTGGATTCCTGCATATCTGTAAATTTAATCCACATTTTATGCACCATGTAAATTTGTAATTGTAACAAGGGTGCAGGTTTGCAAATGGATGTCAGGGACATGTCCCGACCAATATTGGAGAAAACTTGTTGTACTTTTTGGAGTGAAGTAATTAGAAAAAAAACATTTGGTTGACAGTAAGTTTCGCTATTGCTACATAGCTAGCATTAGCATTAACAGCTGTTTACTTCCCAGTTGTGCCAACAGCTTCAGCCATTGTTGCTTTTACAAGACAAGAGGTAATAATACGTCCTCATAGCAGCAGCTACTTCTTCAGGATATACTGGATGCTACAGTGACTCGGTATCGGAAAGTGATGAGACAGGCTGGGGCTAGCTGGTTAGCATGCTAACTTCATCAGAAGAAAAAAAGTGATAGAAATAGACTGAAAACCAGAGTTTCTTTCCACCCCTGGAGACAGCTCTATGAAGTTTGATGCTGAACTTGTAACATAAACTTACATATAGGGCTTTTAAAAGGTTGTGTCCCCACCAATGTTGAGACCAAACCTACACCCTTAAATTGTATGTAATTTCTTATTGTCATGTTTTTCCCTATGTCATATTACTGTGTTGACACTCCCATTCATATGGCTAATACTGAGTTTCCAAAAGCATGCAAAGATGCAGAGAGCTAACGTAGAATCATACAGAGAGATAGAGTGCTGATGTAACAGTGCTAACCACTGATTTACTGCGCAATGACAACGTTGTCAATGATTGGGGTGGACACACACTTCTGGGTCGTACAGCGACTCTTGAGGGAGAAGTAATGTCATTAATTGCATTAATGTTCATTAGTTGCCCACTTGGTGAGCCCACAGAGGTGATTTTAATTACTTTGGATAATCTGACCTCTTTTAAAGGACTGTATGGATGTGTACAGACCGGTCTTGAGTGACATCTCCCTGAGTCTCCCGTTAGGACGTATTACACCTTCAAAACCTGAATAGTGCCAGTTGCCAGCTGGGCATGGTTTCCACTCCATTTCAATTTGGCATACGAGACGGCACATGTCATTCATGTTGAATGGAATCTACAGCTCCGTGCCACAAGTAAACAACACTGTAAACAATACAGGCAAATAAGCACGTACTTCACATGGCTCGTCTTGGCTGAATTCGAGTAGAAAATGTATTGTACTGTCTCTGCCAACACTTAAAAGCTGTGAAAAGAAATTACTTTAATTTTCTGATAGAGCTTCTACGTCACACCTGCCACCTCATACGCCGCTTGCACTCTATTGAAGCAGGTTAAGTGTAGAAAGATCAAAACGGTTTTGATTTCTGTAGGATATAGTTTGACATTGTTGGAAATAAGCTTATTATTTTTTTCTGAAAATTGCATGAGAAGATGGACACCACTCTCATTTCAGTGTATTAACTATGGAGTCTATGTATCTCATTTGGTTAATCTGTACATATACTAAAATGTAATAATGACAGTTTTATGGGGAGTTACGTGCTGGAAAAATTTGCTGGTAGCTGGTTTAATTTTATTTCACTTTATACTTTACACTTTAATACTCCGTCATATTTGAATAAATTCTGTGAAAAGCTGATGTGGTGCTAGACTGGTTTACTTCTGATAAAACTGCCTCTTGTGGAGTTCCCCAAGGGTCTAACTAGGGTCCCTGATTATTCTCTATTTATACACTGTCCTTGGGGAATAACATCCACTGACAGATTTAATTTCACTGTTATGCAACTGACACACAGTTTTAAAGCTGTTTAATAAAGCCTTTTAATATAGATGTATCCTGCATTATACCATGGCTCTCTCATAATTCTTTTACTTGCTGTCCTGGTGAAGGTCATTCCTGCTTTTAGCTCCTCCGTCCTTGATTGTTGTGACGTGATCGTGGTCTTAGCAGGAGAAATATCAACATACTACCGTTAATTCAGAACCCTCCTTCTGGGCTAATCACACTCTCTGAGAGAAGTGGCCAAATTACTTGAGTCCCTGTCCCTCTTCACAGATTGTCGGTCAAATTTAGAACTGATTTTTAAGTTTTAAAGTCAGCTTATTTGTGTGATTTGTCGGCCCCACGTGAGCCTGATTGCTGCTTGAGAGCCTCTTTCCGAGCCCTTCCAGTGATTTCCATGTCTCTCCTCATGGGAGACCTATGTTTACCATCAGGTAACACTCAGCTGTGGAAGTCTGCGCCGGAGGATTGCAGGCATGCAAAGTAAGCATCGTCTTTTAAATCCTTCCTCAAAACTCACATTATCCTATTTCTAATTTATAGTTTTAATCCATAAGTAAAATACTTTTTCATTTATTACTAGCCTAGGCAGGTATGTAGCCATGGATGCTGTGATCATGAATGTAAATTGAGGGAATTTCCATTTGTCCATTTAGCTAACTTTAAGGCATAGCCTGCAAAGCTATTTTTAGTCTTCACAATTAGGTTTAACTCAAGTGTTTAACTCATTATTTCGGTTCCTATTAATATTCTATTTCACTTTTACTGCATTACTTTGCTGTTTTGGTTTTGCAGCGTCCCCAGTGAGATCATTAAAGGTTCAACTTAGCATAACACAACAGTGCACTGGATCTAGCAGAGAACTGAGTCAGACTTGGGTTGAAACAAAGGTTTGATATTTGAACCAAACCAAAACCAAAACCAAACGCTGAAAAGTGATTCAACCAAATATGATGTGAGGTGACTTTGTTTGACATCAGTGGTTACAAGGATACCAACTTCTCTGCTCGATGCTAACGCAACATTTTAGCTAACGGGATAATACTGATACACACTACCAGGGCAAAGCACTTCTGAAGTACAATGTTGCCATTAAAATAACCCGATTGAAATTGCTCCACATATTATTACACATGGACATGGCAAAATGGCTTAATAGCGCCCCCAACAAAACTCAAATTAGGCAGCCTCCCCTCTGTGTTTCACCTCCATGTACCAAAATTGGTAGGCACATGAAACACGCCAAGACTCACAAAAAAGCCTCCTGTACCCATACCCTAAACCCAACAGGAAATCAGCCATTTTGAATTTACTCTGCAATTTTGGTGTCGTTTCTGCAATTTAAGGAAGTCATACTTTAACAAACTCCTCCCACAGAATTAGTCAAATCAAGGTCATATTTGGTCTGTCTTATCTTAAAACCATTGTGATGCAAAATTGTGAAGCTTTTGAGCTTTTTCATTGGAGGATCTGCATGTGGGAGCGTGGCGAATTTCGCAGTGAATTTTGATTTTTTCACCATTAAACAGGAAGTTGTTATAACCATAATATACATTGTCCAATCTGCCCCAAACTTCACACGTTTGATGACAGTCCCACACTGAAGACATCTGCATGCTAATATGATGCCTTACTCATAGTGCCAACCTACTGAAAACAGGAAGTAACCCTTGAGTGACAATCATCATTTGATTTACATGATAGTTTCATGGTCTGGTTTATCCTGAGCTGGGCAAACGGGTGCAAAGTTTTTGCAGCTTAATGTCATATTTTTAACTGTAAATACGTATAAAACGATCATTGCAATCACTTCTGTTTTACAACACTTGCAGTTCTCATTAAGGTATGAATTTGTGTTGTCTTATTAATTTTGAGTTTAATATATTCAAATCATAGTAATTACACTTAATGATGGTGCTATTACGTTAGCATATGACTACTGCTGTTTCCTGAAAACAAATTAAGAGGATTATTAGTCTGATAAGATTTGAGGTATTGAGGCTTTCCAAAAGAGACAGCCATTTAAATTTAGTTTCACCTCTGCTGATAGCCTCCGTCTGAATCATCACACAGTTGGAAGGTTTAGCTGTGATTTTCCAAGAGGTCGCAGTAAACTGAGAGAAAAATCTGTGAGAAGAGCCAAAAATGGGCCAAGCAATGGGGGGAAGGTCATTTTCTAGAGCTCCACCAACTGCTGTGTTAACCTGGCAAGCACTTACACATACAGATGGATGTATACAAGGTGGATACTTATATTTCTGCACACACAGGATTTGTTCCACCACAAATCCTGCTCTGAATTATGGAGACTGTTGTTATTTTACTTGGCAAATTAAGATTTTGTTTTTTTGTGACATGTTTTTTCCTGTCATGTAGCCTAACAGAGAAGGGTTTGTGATATTTAGCTGATATCTTGCTCAAGTTGTGTCCATGTGTATCTGCAGCAGACAATGTCCAGCTCACCATAGTAGCGGCTCGCCCTCCAGGCCCTGACGGCACAGTGTAGGACTCCGTCCAGCCACAGCAGCAGCCAGCTAATGCAGAAGCCCAGCAGCAGCCCCAACATCAAGTCCATCTCCTGCTTGGTCACACTGTCACTCACAAAGTAGTTTTCCGATGAGTCCACCAAGGAATGGTCCCCATCATACGGGATTACATAGTGGACATGATGTCTGGAGGGAGGACAGACAGAGAGAGGTGATGAGAGGGTTGGATATGCATATACATGTGTCCTTGTAAGAGTCCTTCAACCAACGTATAATTGTATGAATTTAAGATATGAATTAACATTTCTTAGACGTCTCTAAGACATAGAGATGACAAATTAAAGGAAAAACCACCAGCCTCAGTGTGAACTCCACTGGAAAGATGAACAGAATTGTTAATAAATGTATTCCTTCATTTGGTGTTTTGATGACGATGGTGAAGAGTTCCGTTTAACACATCGCTCCTAAATCTCCAAAAGTGTTTGGTTTCATTGAGATCTGGTGCCTGTGAGGACTAAACCATATGATTCACATCATTTCATCAAATCCTTTACAGCAGCGTCTGCATTTGTCATCTTTCTCCATTCATCTATTCAGGTGTTTCCTTTAATTTACTCGTCTGTATAACCTTACCTTGAAAAGTGACTTTCCAAATTTTCCTCGACCCCGAGAACCTTGAACACTATTGGACTTTATACTGTATATACACATATATAAGGGGTTACAATGAAGATGTTATTCTACGTACAACCGCTACATCAAATGATGTCTTGAAATTTTGAAATTTTAATCAGACTGCACTAATCCACACTTTGCTGGGTGTTCCCAGGCTGCACTTTAGGTAGAGACGTTTATGGTCGGTTTGTGATTGTGAATTAGCAGAAAAAGCTCACGGCCGGAAAAGAGAGAGTGCACCACCGCTACCTCCTGCAGAGGTGCCTTTCAGCAAGGCACTGACTCCCATATCGAAATAGGTACCTGCTGAATAAAAACCTTTCAATTAATCTAAAAATTCTGGAGTTATACTAATCAACTAATTAACTTGTCATCTTTTTTTTATGTCATTTTGGAATTAAAATCCTATTTTAAATCCAAAATAAAACCTAGAAAGTCAAGTTTAAATTTGTTCCAAATAGGAGAAACCTGAAAGATCTCAATATGAAGCCAATTTTAATTGTTTTCCACAAATCCACAGGGTGTGTTTGCTACTAACCAGGTGCTCACATCCCATGGGAGAGGAAGGAGGAACTGTGGTGAAAAATATGGAAATGTTACACTGACAGACTGTTAATTTAAAGACAGCTTATGTTTGCAGTAGATCATAGAAAACATCAGTCTGCTGCATTACAGCTAAGGGACATGCATGGTAACATCACATGCAGATGTGTATATCAGCTGTTGCAGCAGCAACTCCTCAATAATCATTAATTTCCTTGCATTCATTTTGCCACACATGGTCCAGCACTGACTCAGCTCCCCTGTAAAACAGATACATCCAGTTGATATGAAAGTCTTACTATAGTGGTATTACCTGGCCTCCTGAGAGGGGATGAAAGCTTCTAACAAAAACTAACAACACGGGCAGTTGTCTGACAAACGCTGTGAGGGAACACAGTGGGAGCTGAGAGATTTAACTGCTGGGAGTGAGAACAGATACACTCACACACTTTGGGATTTTACACTGATAACAAGTTTGGACTGATGCAGGTTTTTTGAAGGGCATTACCAAAAGTTTTCATTGTGAAAGAATACTCCAATTTGGTATCATACTTCTCAAAACTAAAGGACTTGCAGGAGACAGATTTAATAAAAAAAAAAATGTGCGGTCAAGATTTATGCAGCGGAATCAGAGATATCCTGACTTCTAATCCTTAATATGGGCCAAGCTCCAAAAAACAAAGGATTCTACATTTTCTGTAATGCAACGTGATCGTGTCTTTCACTGGACGTTCCACATGATTCTACCTATTTTAATAAATGTCTGAAAGCTGCTATCTTTTGTCGACCGGTACGTAGTACGTAGTATGTAGTGATGTTTCCGACTTGTTTGGCGTAAAACTGAGGAAGAAGTGAGAATCACGAGCAGCTGTAGACAAAGGAGAAATCTCCACCTACCGAAATGCAACTTCATAAACAAGAAAATCCACCCACACTGTTTGATTGACAGATGATCTCTGGGAAGTGCAGTGCAGAAACACAACAGCACTTTGTCCTAAACGTGGAGGAAAAAAAACCTGATGTTGCAGATTAGCACCTTAAGTATCTTTACTGAAGAAGTACGGCCACATGGGGGATCAAACCCCCCTCTATTAAACCTCACTGACCTGAGCCATGCTGCCACCAAGGTCCATTAACGCCAAAACATTTCTCACAATAAACAAAGATAAGCTATGTGTAAAGATGAGGCAACATCTTCACTCCAGGTTTCTTTCTATTCCCTGAGGAGTTTCCTGTATATCTAAGTCCCGGTCACCTGCGCCCTACACATCTTTCACTGTGTGTCTTTTGTTCTGTTTTCTGTTTTCTAGTATAAAAATGAATTTTATGATGGAAATGCTCCAATAAGAGCTTTTAGATCATCTTAGATCAAGCATCCTGGAGCCTCGCAAAACAGCATGACACCAATAAAGGTTCACCCAGCAACACACACTGTCCAACTCCTAGATCACTCCTCTCCCACAGAGGCAGCAGCTATTGTAGGCCAGGCTTTGGCCCGTCAGAGAAGCTACAACTACATCCAAAATCAGAGCGCAGAGGCTGCCAAATAAAATGACACTGGCTGTGTCCTCGAGCCTGATAAGGTGAGCGCTGTGGGCGTCACGACACCTCCGTGGCTTACGGATGGAGGGGCAGGCAAGCGAAGCCTGAGCTCCGGTCTATTCATCCACCTATCCCACGTTTTTCTGCTGTTTACGTGAAAACAGATGACTGACTCTCACTCATGGATGTTTCCAGGTCAGTGAAAGACACCGTGGTTACAGTAACCTGAAAACTAACATGAGGACCAGGGGTTTGACTGTGCATACTGTCCAGTGGTAGGTAGTTTTATCTGATCATCGCCTATTAAACAAATATGTGTACAGGACACAAATAATCTCTTTATAGATTAAGAAATCACTGCTTTCCAAATTTTCAAAATCCTGCTTGCATTCATAATCACAGTTGTTTTAGCAGAAGCAAGGATGTCAAAACTACAAAATAAGATTGTGAGTGATACATCATCTCCAAACATGCTCCTTTTTTGCAAGAGGCCTTTCCAAACTTTAAAAACCATAATCTAACATCACCTGAGGATGAAGGATTTCTGCATTTACAGGTTAAAAAAAAAAACACAGTGGAAGTGGCCAGTTAATGCTGCTTACAAACTGCTATAGCACACCAGCCCCCTCACTGCAGCACATGCACACTATAGACTGCTGTTTTTGGTTTGATGTGCATCTGTTCAGCTTGCACCGACATGAATAGTGACATTTACCCCTTCCTAAACCACTGATCTCTTCTAGTGGCTGTAGCTAGGCTGCCTGTAGGACACGAGCCAATCAGGATCCAATATCTGAGGACAATATAGGGGTGAATCTATTGGTTCAAATGACTCCTACTTTAAATCTTGGTCCAACATTGTTGCCATAGCCTGTAGAGACTAAAAAAACAGAGGCCCAGTTGTGTGTCTGCTCATCCACACAGCCTACATCTTGCTCACTGTTGATGGAAAATAAATAATAATACAGATGAATTCAGAATTAATATATTAATGAGTGTCTTGCTGCTGCCCCCCACCCCCCACTTCAACCCTGCTCACTGTGACAGCAAACAGCAGGTAGGCTGATGAGCCCTACAGCACTTCTTAAGCCATAACCACTTCACCTCAACACTCATACGATCATAATTGGCCCAGCAGGTTTATATTCTCCGTGCAGCCTGAGTCCGTGTGAATTGCACACTTGATGCTCAGATTGTTTTTGAACGGCCTCCTACTGCTCACAGTTCATTACCTATTTATGGCTCCGACACACACCTTCGTAGGCTATATGCAGCAAAAGCCGAAATCCTCGCAGCCAATATGGGCTGTATGTATATACATATATTTAAAAAAAAAAAAACACACACACACACACCGCGGCCAAACGTTTCATCGGACTGTGTGTTAGAGCGAATAATAAAAACCTGTATGAAAACATCAGCCGCTGTGTGGAGGCACAGACGGGGCTGATATCACGTTGGCTTTGCGGGGCTTCACCGCCAGAAATCTTCGAGGCCTCTTCAGCAATTAAGAATAGAAAAAAGAAAATAAAAACACAACACACACAGAGCGCCGTGTTTATCCCACATTTTGTACGAGGATGAGCATTTACCTTCCACAGTTGCAGTGACAGACGCGGTCCTCCCCTCGTAGATGCGGTAAGATGTAGTTGTGAAAGCGATCCAGTAGTGCGTTCATGTCCATTAAACAGGCTATCGCCTGCAAAGAACCATGCCAGTCAGCTGGGACATGTCAAGCAATAGGCTAGGCTATTCCTACAGACAGCCAATCATCCTGTTCTCCATTATTAAGATAAATAACAACAATAAGGATCATAAAGAAAAAGACAGAAAATAGCCTTGGTAGACCCTCCCGATTCCAAGAGGGGGGACTCTTGCCTCAAAACGGACTTAGATTATTTATTTATGACAGCAGGTAATTATAGGTAGGCTAACCTACTTCCACATGTCACTGATAGGCCTGCTGGAAGGTAGTTCCTCTACATTTAAGGCACATTTGTAACAATCTGATTAAATAGCCTGTTAGCTTCAGTGAGTAGGCTAAATTAGAAAATCATATGGTGGCTGAGGGAGGTGAATATGTCTTACCATTACAACTGAAGCACCAAGAATCATAAAAATCATGGTGGTTGTGATCATATGCATCAAAACTTCCAAACTGGCCGCCGTCCTGAAGCCCGGGAATTTACCCGCGGCGGTGGAGACGCTCCGGCTGGGCTCTGGGCGCTCTGTCCCGGCAGGAGCCGCTCATGGAGCCGCCGCGCCGCTCCTGGCTCCCCGTCCCTTCAAACTGCCCGGTCTTCCTCCGTCCCCCTCCTACACACGGCAAGCCGCTCTCTCAGCCCCTTTACTGCGCCCTCTCCATCCAAGTATCCCCCCCTCCCGGTCCGTCGGATGCGGCTGCCGCTCGCTCCAAAGAGGCAGTCCTCTCCTAATTACCGATGCAAAAGTGATCCGTTCTTCCAGGCGCCTTTCTCTCTCTATCCCGGGTTAGAAAACCATCAAGAAAACAAGAGACGGGCTCATTCGATATCCTCTAAGGGGAGCCTCGGTATCCGTCCTGCCCTGTTCCAAGTTATTCCAAACCGGGGCTGCGCTTTAACAGGCTACCGGCGAATTCTGTCCTCCATCTGTGAAAACGGTCAATTTCTCTCGTTTCAAAGAGCTGCACCAACTCCTCTCACGGCCATCGCCCTCGTCTTTCTCGGAACAGCAGCCTGCTTGATAACATCGACATGAGGTCCAGATAGCTCCAGTCGGGAACTAGACCCACCCTACGCCCCGAGTCCAGTCCGGATCCAGCAACGGCAGCTGCATCAACGCCTGAAGCCAGACACGCATGATCATCCCATCCTGGCTTCCAGCAGCTACACGAGCATCCACTCCCACCTCTAGTACATGTGCGCGTGCACGTGTCCCTGCGCGTGCGTGTGCATGTGTGTGTGTGTGTGTGAGAGAGAGAGAGAGAGACAGAGAGAGAGAGAGAGATAGTGTGTGTGTGTGTGTAGTGGGCGGTATGAGGGGGGAGAACTGCAAACTGCCTCTATGGCATTGGCCTATAGGCTCATTATTTATAGTGGATACCTGCAGATGCACCGGAGGCTTCAAGAATGACACTCTTCATGATGATTTAACCTCCTTTTTGTCCAGAGGCTTAACCCCTTTTACCCCTCAGTGTGTGTGTGTGTGTGTGTGTGTGTGTGTGTGTGTGTGTGTCTTTATATTTCTCTTCTAGACATTGCAGTTCTTCAGTTTCTGATTCTGCGCAGTTCCTGCTGTTTCTGCTCCTACTATCATGTTTAACGTCTAAAACTGAGTCTCGGATACAAATCAGACAAATTCTATATTCTGAACTCTTTTTTGGGGGGAAATAAAACCCCTCTGAGTTGTTCCTTTGAATAAGCAGCGATGGGGGGGGGGTCTCAGTGACATTGTCTTGTATAATTTTCATCCAAAAACTTGCAAACTTTGCTATTTGAGATAACTCACTAAGGAGACACTGGTCTGGAAGCTTTCCGTAATGGGATTTTGTACCATGGATATCTGGGGTTTCTTTCTCTGCATTTTAACAAAATTTTAACAAAAAAGTAAAAACATAAAAATAAAAAACAGTTCCCATATGTATCCAGTTGGGGAGAGGGAGGGATGGTTGTAAAATTTGTGACATTTCTGTCTGCATCTTGGAGCTCTTTTGAGTCAGTGTGTTCAGAATTTAATACAAACTAGTTAGATGTGTCTACTATTAAATGGTGTAGGTGTTATCTCTGCAACACAAACAGAAAATGTCTCGTTTAGTCTCAAACACAAGGAGTGAAATGTTACAATTCATCTCATAGTCCAGGTTAGTTATAACGTACACTGGTGTGAAATGTGACATTACGACATAAGTATGTTAGTTACTTTCAGTCATAACAGTGATAAGACATTTGGAAATAATTAAACAATAACTTCAATAACTTAACATTTGTGTGTGTGTCCGTGTGTCCGTGTGTGTGTGTGTATTGTTGTTACAACTCAATCAGACTCCTGTAGCCATGGACTAGCTTAATTTACAGCTAACGGCTAAAACATTAGCACTGACAACTAGCATGAAAAATATCTACGCAGACTCACAATGAACATGACATAAGTTTCATAAGAGTTGAACTACATAGCAGACAGTGCTATTACAAAAATAAATTAAGTAATACATTTTTTTTTTTTTAAACTGTCTTACCTCAAAATTTGTTTTTATTCCTCCGCGCCGGGAACAGTCAGAGCTGGAGGCATATTGTTGTCCGTCCGTCCGTCCGTCCATTTCTCATGGACACGATATCTCAGTTACACCTTGACGGAACTTCTTCAGATTTGGCGCAAATATTTACTCGGGTTTTGTACGAAATCACTCACCCGTTCACTCTGTCCTGCTACCTATCCAGGCATTTCTATGTAGAGGACTCTATCGTCAGCCCATCCGCAAAATGAAGCAACATTTTCGGACCGTTTTTTTTTGTCTTTCAGCGCGAGCGCCATGCATGATGGTATATATTGCCTGGTTAGTGACAACACTTACTTTTTTTTCACTATACATTTGGACAGCACTACAAATGGCGAAATCTTCATATAGTGAACTATTTAGTGAGTAGTGAGTGATTAAGATTTAAGAACGAACTGATTAGATTTTGGGGGTCAAAGGTCAAAGGTCACAAAACGCAGTTTTGGCCTTGTGAATGCAATATCTCTGTAACACCTTGAGGGAATTTCTTCAAATTTGGTAAAAACATTCACTTGTACTCAAGGACAAACTGATTAGAATTTGGTGGCTAAAGGTCAAAGTTCAAAGGTCAGGGTCACGGTGACCTCACAAACCATGATTTTGGACTTTTGAAAGCAATAGCTCAAGAACTATGCAGGGAATCCCTTCAAATCTCACACCTTCAGGGAATTTTTTTTAGAAATTTGGTACAAACCTTCATTTGGACTCAAGGAGAAACTGATTAGATGATGATTTTGTGGTCCAAAGGTCAAGGTCACAGTGACCTTAGAAAACATTTTTTTGCCATTATTCAAGATGTAATTATGCAATTATGACAAAATTTCACACAAATGGTTAATATCTTATATGATTCTGGATAAACAGGGATGTAACCTGAATTTAGTCTGAGTGACGAAGGCAGACAACCGCGAGGCAATAATTCTAGTTTCCTTCTAAGATATTCTGTGTCTGACACAGGGAGCTACTTCCTCACATGTGCAATAAGGACTAAATCAAGCAGGTATAGAGTGAATCAGGTGATTCATAACTTGGTCCTGATTGGAGAAATTGGAAGTGTTACAACTGACCCATGTTACAACCATCCCTGGTCTCCTCTGTTCTCTCAAGTATTTCCTAAATTATCCAAATTAATCAGCCCCAGTAAACAATGTAAGAAATAAACAGTTAATTCACGTTATCACTATAGTAAACAGTGTTATACAGATTCAGCACCATGGACAGCGGCCATAAAACAGCCTGCTTCTACCAGCTGCTACAGTGAGATGCATTTTCTGAATTTTTGTAAAACCCATAACATTTTACATGCATGTTGTACTAACAACTAAAATAGAACCGCTGTAACAAGTTAATCAATAACCAGTCTCGTGGTATTCTTTATTTTTGGGGGTGCAGAATTCAAAAACATCTGCTGTTGTCACCTACAGGCACACTGCTGGTGTTACTTCATTTTGACTTCCCCCGATGAGGAAACGCAGCCAAGCTGGGGCACCAGTGTGGCAGACTCTGGTTAAAATCTACAGGGGTTAAAATGTAAACATTTAATAGGAAGAGGACTTGAAACCAGAACAATTACAATTATGAGTGCAGCAACAAACACAAGGTTGATTGTGAGTTAACAGCATTTATCTGGCATAACCAACAAAGCTCCAAATAGCTGCACAAACAAAGAGAAAAGTGCATGCGAGCTGATAAGGCCCCTTTTGTAGCAATGCTTGCCATAGTAATTAAGTTCACATTTAAAAGGTCAATTTAATTACAGAGTGACATTTTTTTCCATTTGGTGGTATCTAAACATGCAGGTAGTTTTGGTTTTTGGTTTTATTTGTTGAGATTTGAAGATGTCTTTGCTGCACCAATGTGAGTGAATATATTTTCATTAGTGCTGCTCAAAACAGAGAAAACTACATTTTAAAAAATCAGGAGCAACTTTTATTTTCATTTTCTATGACCTAGATAACCAGATATGATACTATCAACATTTTTCATAGCACTACTTTCTACCAAAGAAGTACCCTTCAAGGAAACACAGTGAGGTTTGTCAATTATCAAGAAAAACTGGCAGATTTTGTTGTTGGAAAGACACGTTGTTGTTTAGTTTTTCCAATATTTTTCATTTAATTGGAGTAGTGCAGATAAATTAATCTTTACTGTACATAGTAAAGTTTCAGATATCTGAAAACCTAAACATATGAAACATATAGTGTGAATCACCAGTGTGAATCAGAAAATGCTTTTCTTTGAATTAGGTGAACTTACCCTCTAAAATCCTTTTTTTCAGTGTGTACTTGCAGTAATTTTGTCTCCCTTCTGTGAGTCGTCTCCTGCATTAAAATTCCAACATTCACCAAAAACTGCAGTATTAGCACTTGGTTACAGGCAAAAATTACTCTGCAAAACTGGAAGAGGCCAGCTTATCTATTGGCTGTTATAAAAAAAAGCAGCTCAGTCTTTGTATGTGTGGAGCAGTTAGTTAGTTTGAAAAAAACAATCTAGTTTTCATCATTTGCAGGACGTCAGATTTCTCAGTGTACCAAGATATATCCTCATATCGGATGTTAGCACAGGCCAAGAGGTTGTTTATATTTCATGACTATAGTTTTGCAGGTGATATCCATTCAAATAACAGTAAGTCAGTGAAGCTGCAAAGATTTTAGGTTTCTAGAAAACAAAAAGAGCATCAGTCATAAATATAACACTGCAACATCAGTTGAAATTAACTTTCTTCGACATAATGTTCTATTTTCGTCTGATATCTTCCTGTAACATAATGATTTGATGTACCCTGATGGACTCTCATATACACACATACACACACAACCATACTGTACATGTGCAGTATAAATGATATGTTGTCCATGCTTGGCTGATTGCTCTTATGTTCCACTCAGGTGACTGACTCTGATTGCTGCACATGCACAAATGCATGGATAACCTTCAGGCCATTACATCTGCTTGCACACAGTGCCATCAATCACTGAGGTCTATAATAAACCACATACCAACTTACAGCTGCAGATGTGTGTCCTGTTTCTTTTACGTCAGCTGGCTTGGTACAAATTTGTATTTTTTTTTCCTAGCTTTTACGAAATAGAATAGTCTTACTGCGTTACTGTTTTTTGATGCAGTTTTATGTCTTCAGGCTATTGTTTTTTTGTCTCACTGTGTCTGCTTGTCTTTTTCACATAGCCAACATTCTGTTTATTGCTTCTCAGCCTACTCCTCCCCCACATTATATTCTCCAACTGTGTGGAGTCATCTGAAGGAGTTGGTGGTGAGTTGGGGAGAGTATAGGGTGGAGGGATTTTCAGATGCAAAATTTCTTTCAAAATTGTAACTCAACCTCCTACTTTGTCCTGAGTCACAGTCTGCAATATAAAATGACTCAGAGTTTTCTGACTTGTCGCAATTATCAAAATGATTAAAAAATGCATCTCACAGTCACATTCACACCTTTCCCCCTGCAAACAATGGCAGGTGGGAACTAAAAGTGCTCCATACTAAAGGGGTTTTAAATAACCAAATTAAATGTTACACTTACAAATTATAATAATTATAATATTATAATAATTATATACATATACAACATATATATATATATATATATATATACGGGCCTCAAACCCTTCACACAGAGGGAAAGAGCAGAGTGTGTTATATATATATATATATATATATATGAAATACAGTAAGTACAGCAACCGATAATAAAATTATAGAATAAACTTAATGAAATTACATTAACTAGTAATATAATAAACTCAAATAATATTTCATCTCTTAATATACAACACAACTTACTATGGAATTGTGGTATCATTGAATAAACCTGGTGCTTTCATCAGCCCAATTCAATTTATTTATCACCTCTGCCGTTAGGCCCATTCCCCCTTCCGTACGTTTTGACGCACGCTGAGTTACGTAAGCGGAACCTGAGTTGTAAACAAAAACGACAATCATTACATTCCTCTTCTGAGCCAAAAATACACAAGAAACGAAATAAAGACATATCTCGTCGAACGCGGTTTGTTAAAGGCAAGTATCAGTCTATTAACTACGTTAAATTATTTAGTTGCTTACAATGTAGTGAGAGCTACGAGCGGGGAGATATGATTTGTTATGTAATATTCTGCCGTGAATGCTAGCTAGCTAGCTATCGAACTTCATGTTAGCAAATCTGACGTCGATAATGTTCCGTTTGGGTCGGTTCAACTAACATTATCTAGCATTAACGAGTACTAGTTACTAGGAAGTGCTAATTAGTATTAACGTTAACTAGTTCATCGTTAGTTAAAATCCATCGACTAGTTAGTTAACTATATAAGGAAACTAGTCGAATTGTGATTTAGCTTCAGTAATGACGCTACAGGAATATTAAGTCAACACTTTGTTAGTTTATCGCTGATCAGATCACATGTTGTGTCAAAGAACACAATTTCTAACATGTGAAAGACACTGATCTAAGACTTTTTGCCCTTCATGTCGGGTACAATTGTCAATTTGATTAACATTTACACCAGACACCACTTCACTAACGGGATCAGACAGATATAATATTCACTGACTCTCACACCGTGCAGAGCTGCACTTTGCTGAGAGAACCAAGCCCAGGTTACACTGGAACAAACTGCTGCTTAATAAGTCAATTATATTTGAATTTGCCGATATGCACTAGAGAATCAGACAAAAATAAACAGCTCATTGCTTAATAGATACTCTGTGTCTGATGTATTGTCTAAGAATCTCAGCTTAAAACTGTCAAATTTCCAAGTGGAGTTTGGTAGTATGTCTTCTACATCAGGGACAGACTGTGGCGGGATGTTTGTCTCTTGCAAATTACAGCTTTACAAAAGACTAGCAGGCTCAAATGACAACCCTGGAATATTGTGACATTCTAAGAAAACTAGAATACATATCTCATAACATATCCTGACAACTTGTCTCCCCCACCTCTGTGTATTTTTAAATAGGTTCCAGATGTGTGGCAGTGCTTGATGCAAGTGCTAGCACATTACTGTAAGAAGACATACTTTGGTGTTGTAGGCCTGCAGAAAGGACTGCAGCTGGCATGTCTAGGAAACAGACATCGAAACCTGTGCGGAGCAATAAAAAGAGCGAACTGGAACGCAAGAGGGATGAGCGGGCAGCACGTCGGGCCATTGTAAAGGACCGCAAGAACCGGCCTCAGGATGGTGATGAAGGAGCAGAGTTTGTCAGTTTCTCCAATCAGCTCCAGGCACTGGGGCTCAAGCTGAGAGAAGTCCCTGGAGATGGGTAGGAGCCAGAAAAAGATTGTGGTGTCTAGCTGTGCTTTGTCTCCCTCTGTGTAGTCTCCTACCACCACTGATACTGTAACACCTCTCTCTTCAATCATATAATATACAGAAACCTTAGCTTCAAGCTGGCCACAGCTGTCTCACCATTAGTAACCAGGAGAAACATAATGTCTCCGGCCTCTATGTCAATTTCCCCCCTGCCAACAGTCAGTAACAATGTGTTGTTAACTAAACTGCAACATTTTTATAGCTGCATGGCTGCTGCACAGTAGAGGCAAATGTCACTAGTGCCATAATTTGTCAGTATTCATCAGTCATGTTTAATAAAAAAAGGTCTAGGGAGCTTGTGTTTTGCAGGACTTCAGTCACTGTTATTGTTCAAAACCCAGAACTTTTGCAGCTCATGCCAACTCTGACAAAGGCACCTGTGAAGTGAAAAACCTTTATTTTGGCTTTATTTCTTGCAGAAACTGCCTGTTCAGAGCATTAGGCGACCAGTTAGAAGGTCACTCCAGGGGTCACCTGCGACTTCGCCAGGAGACTGTCCAGTACATGTCGTCTCATCGACAAGACTTTGAGCCCTTTGTCGAGGATGACGTGCCCTTCGCACAGCACTGTAAGAAAATGACCCAGTGTGTGTGACACTGACTAAATCTGCAAAGGAGATAAAAGACTGTGATCAGATCTGAAGCTTTTGATAAAGCTTCATTCACAGTGAACAATTTTGTGATGTTACCCTACATGATAAGTTCACTGATTTCAAAGGGAGACCATTTTGACCAGCAACTATGCACTGACCCCTGGTGGTCATCCCTTTTGCTTGCAATGGAGCGACAGATTACGTATGTCAGTGGTTCCAAGATAATTAATAGGATAAGAATGAAATTAAAAAAAAAAAAAGATTTTTGTACTCAAATAGTTTTTCAGACTTCCCTCCATTCTTTGCTTTTGAATTGGTTAAACTGATCACAACTGGTACACATAGTGGTTGCAAGTAGTTGTTAAAGGTGTCCCAAATCAACAAGGTTGAGAACACTTTTAAATGAGGCTGTCTTGACTTCATGTATTTTGTGTTTTAGAAGATACACTGTATATTCGTTGTGGCAACACCACAGAAAGTTCAGTGTGATCACTGCTTACGTTTACCTTGTGAATACGTGTTGTTGTGTCTTTCCACCCAGTGTCCAACCTCTCTCAGCCCGGTACATTTGCTGGCAATGACGCTATCGTAGCTTTTGCTCGCAGTCAACAGGTGAAGGTGGTCATCCATCAGCTGAACACACCACTGTGGGAGGTAAGGACACACAAAGACTTTGAAATTACAACATGTAATCTCATGTGCTATTACTCTGTGATATCTAACTCCCTTTGGTACACCACACAGTTTATATGTCGTGTTTTCATGGTAGATAAATGGTGCAGAGAAGCAGGTGTGCAGAGAGCTACACATTGCCTACCGCTATGGAGATCATTATGACAGTGTAAGGCGGATTGGAGACAATTCTGAGAGTCCTGCTCAGCTCCGCATAGAGGTATACTGTAATGTACAAAGGACATCAAATGGGCCAGCATTTAGGAGCAGTTATCCCTTACAATAGCTTAAATCATGTAGTAAATTTGAGAAATTGAGTGAATTATGTGTTTCTGATGATATCTTGCCTTTGCTGTCGCCAGAACATGCAGAATTCACGAGGCCAGCAGCGCGAGTTCGGGGACGGTCAGAGGGACAGGCAGAAAAATCCCTCCCCCACTGCCTCGGAGGAGGACAACGTGATCCTGAGTTCCATCAAGAATCGAGGAATCCAGGGTCAGAAGTTCCACTTGACTCATTAGCTGCAGGAAGAATTAGACTGTGAGGACAAAAGAGCAACAACTAGGAATCAACTTTGTTACACACTTTATAATCATCATGCATTCAAACTTGTCTCTTCAGCTACGTTTTCCATTGATAACTTACTTATATGACTGTTTTCTTCTCAACAGTGACGATCGCATCACCCTGACATGTTCTGTTCATGTGTGTGTGTGTGTTCTCTGCCTGATGAGGAGAACCTGCTCCAGCTGAGTGCAGCAACCATCAATGCTGAATGGCTTGTCGGCTCTGTGCTGGGCCAGTCCTGCCAGGGCCAGTGTGCCTCAGGATCCTGTTCTGCCTGCAGAGCTGCAGCCACAGACTGCAGTGAGCATAAGCAGTCAGCAGAGGGCAGCAACGTACAAAAACCTAAGGTGGACCAACTGACACAAAAGTTTCAGTTTTAGGGATTCTTGTTAATTGTAATTTTATTGCCAAATTAATTGTAATCCAAGTCTATTTTACTTAAAATACTCACTTAAAAACATATTTTTGTTTTCTTCATTCCCAGGTATCGAACAAGCAAAGGAAAGAGCAGCAGAGGCAAGAGAAGAAGAAGCGTCAGGAGGAGAGGCATCGGCAGAAGTTTCTCCAGAGCAAAGGAAGCATGGATCAGAACCAGAACCTGCCGGAAGCTGTTACTTTAGTACCAGCTCTCAACACTCTCAGTATATAGACTGGAGCATGGCCAAAATTACCTACTGCTACTCTAGCTACTGGTGGCTGACGCTGTCCACAACGTTTTGCACATAGTCAGATATGATTCAGTCACAGAGGATGACTTTTCCTAAAGAGAACCCTATAGTTTCTTTCCAAACAAACAGTATAACGGTGCCTGCAAACTCATGTGCGTGAGACGCGTGAAAGTTGTAAAAGACAAGAGAGTGACAAAGAGCACGGCTGTCAGTATTTCCGTTGGGTTTTGATTTAGTTCAATCCCTGGTTGGTGTTGGTGTATGTAGAAACTCCTCAGAGCTGGTCTACCTACCACGCTACCTTTCCCCTTTCTATGCTGGACATCTGGCTTTCCACGACAACCAATGCAGATAATCTCGTGCAGCTGGGCTTTCTGATTCGCCACAGATTGAGGTAACGTTTATTCAGATGTTCAGATCGTTGCGTTTGTTCGATCTGGCTGAAGATGGAAGAAAAGTAAATGCAGAGCGGCAGATGAATGATTGTTATGCACACTGTGTAAGGAATGTGGCAATAAAAAAACAAACAATAAATGATAATTTACTGTTTATGTGCATCAGATAATATATTGCATATTCTCCAGGGTGACATGTTGCCTTTTGTATTAATTTTCCTTGGTGTTTAAGAAAATAACCTGAATACAACAAACTGAACATGAACATAAACAGACATGAGGCACATATCATAAAGACATTCATCCCTCTTAGGTTGTCATGGTGCAGCCGCAGCAGATAAACTGGAGGCAACAACATTAACACGTACTGCAACACAAAAAACATGGATCCCTCAAATTGATGAATTACAAGTTACTTAGCCTGTTACACAGAAACACGACTAATTATACACAGTTACTTCCAATCAAATGGTCCTGGGTTTAACAAATCTAAAGTCACTGTAGCTGTAAACCATTGAATTTGTGTTCATTTGCATAATGAGCTCTCTTGCATTCTGTAATATTAGGTAGGACATGAGCACAGTGAACTGATGATCACGTCCTGTAATGTTCCATAAACCCTGTTTGATTTGTTATTCCACACTATATTATATTGAAGTTTCTGATCCCAGAACAGCAGTTGAGGCTGTAGTGTGCAGCGCTGTTGTATTGGATTGTAATATTGAGAGGTGTTCTTGTTATTTCACCTGTGAAAACAACCCAAGCTCTAACTGACTGACTGTGGTTGATGAGTCACAGGATCCATGTTTCACATCTGGTCTTATCATCAGTTAACATGCGATTACATATTTGACTGGCCGTTATTCTAATTAGAGATTATCTAGCATGTACTCTTTGAGTGGTCAAACTGTTCACTGTAGATGTGTAATTAGTAAACCAAAGTCGATGAATGATTAAAAGCCTCACTGTTTGGGAATACTAGGCTGGACTGGCACCAGCATTACGGGCCTGACAGCTCTGTGGGGGGGCGCACACTGATGATTTAAGAGTAGTTTTTTTCTAACTGGTCATTGGGCATTTAGTTCTTGACATGTTCATAATTTGGTAAATGGGGTTTAATAAATGACAAACTACATCTGAATGCGCTGTCAGTGCTGCGAGAGCTTAGAGAGGAGGTTCGAGGTAACTTTACGATCCTGTCTGTTGACTCAGTGGCTGTCTATTTATCACACTGGGAGTAGGATGTTAAATTTGAATATACTTTACCTTCATGCAATAAAGAAACTGACCAGCTGCACCGAGCTCCAGGAAAACCACTGACACAACAGATTACAAATCATACCAAACAGCAGTCAAATCCGTGTCTTTACATAAGTGGAACTAGACGATGCACTTAAGTCAGGTTATGTGTATTGTGATATCTGATGTGAGAAATAAGGAAGGAAATATAAGAAATGTTCATTTTTTATTAAAACAGCATAAAAAATTACATGAATGGAAGTCAAGGCGAGACTCAGAGATAATTTTGTATTCAACAGACTTGAACTATGTACACGTTATTCTAAACACACTCCTCTGTTGGTAGACAGCCTCAAAGACTGAATCCTACATGCTGGTGTGAATTACATTTTAAAGCAAGACTACGTAACATTATTATCTTATGAAATAATGTTAATGCTGGTACAACAGTAGCACAAGGAAAGACGAAAAGAGTCTTAAAGCCGGCAAACCGCCTCCACAAAGCCACACAGTATTATCTATCAAAAGTTAGCTAGCATTAGCCACCATAGGCTAGTGGTCATACCAGAATATGTGAGGCTGCACTGTATCAGCAGAAACCATAATTGTATTGAATTAAGCAAAGGTGTGTTTTATCACCTGCTGAGACAGTGTGGCTGGTTTTGTTTTCAAGTTTCTGTTTGTGTGTGTGTGTGTGTGTGTGTGTGTGTGGTCATGACAAAATGTGGTCCTGAGACGCCGACTGTAGCGGGAACAAGCACAGAGGTGGTTTGGAGTACTGTGGCAGGTGTTTATGATCTGTGCAAGACACATTCACAGAACCTTACAGGTGTGTGGTTGACATCAAAATGAAGGCCTAGCTCGAAGATGGGTGTGGTCCGACCCATGAGTACAGAGTTCTGATGTACTAATGTAGTAATGACCACTTACCACTCCTGAGTCAGAAAGTCAACATCACCACAAGATGATCTCTAGTTGCTTTTCAATTCAACTTTCCATTTGTAAGAAGGTGAACGTGTTCCATCCTTTAGCAAACTGTACATAGTCTTGCTTTAAACATCTGTGATCCTTGGAAGATAATAAAAAAATACACTCAAAAAGCCGCTTTATACCATAACCACCACTGTTTTTACTCTAGAATAAGGTCTGGTAAAATGTGTGCTGTCACTGAGGTCTCTGGGCAGCTCCATCTGAATGTCAACGTTATTGGGTGATGCAGTTTCACATCAACTCTCCTCCGTATGGATAACGTTCCATCCTTAGTCCTGTAAGTCTTATGATACCTGATGAAAGCTGCTGCCGCTCTAGAAGTCCTGTCGGATATTCTCCTTGTTCTCGTCCCCCTGCTGTTGTCTGAGCTGGGTGACTTCGTTCTCCAGCTGGACAATGGCCCGCTCGATCTCGTAGTTCTTGCTGACCAGAGACACCCAGCTGTTGAGAGGCAGATACAGATGTTAAGACCGAGGGAAATCTAACCTACGTATTCGCTGTAGAGTGATATAAACAAGTGACAACATACTTTGACTCCAGCTCTCGCAGTTTAGCTCCTCCTGCTAACTGATCGTTCTTACGCTGCCAGTTCATATCCTGAATTTGTTTCCTGTGCACAAGGGAAAAAATATCGATTTAATTATTAAATGTGAAAAAAGTTTGATAAAACTTTCAAAAATGTTCCAATGATCATTCACCTGAATTTCTGCAGTTCCTTTTGTGCCATCTCGATCATGAAGGCCAAGTTACTGTAGGGAGAGGATAAAATAAAATGTTATTCTTCAGTGTTTAGACCTGTTTTACAGCGAGTTACTGTCTGTGAGAGAAGGCTGCTGTCACATACTCATTGTAGACTTTCCATGCGTTGGTTCCATATTGTGACATGAGCTCCAGGTTCTCGATGCGGACTGCCTGGTGCTCTAGCTGGGCCATCGAGTTGTTGACGCACTCCTGCCACGCTGTGATGTCGTTCTTCTGTCCAGCTGACGGCGCGGGCAGCTCGTATCTCCACAGGGAGGAAAAGGTCAAATGTAATGATCAACATTTGGAGCCAAAGAGCAGAAATAACATTACAAGAAAGAGACTTTTTTATTATGCCTCTGCACCAGCGAGAGCCAGATCATGGTCAAAGGTCAAGGTCGTGGTGACCTCACAATACACAGTTTTGGCCTTGTGAACACGATCTCTCAGTAACAATTCAAATTTGGCACAAACATTCACTTGGACTCAAGGATGAACTGATTAGATATGGGTGGTTAAAGGTTAAAGGTCAAGGTCACAGTGATCTCATGTTCTTGTGAATGCAATATAAAAGGAACGCCCAGAGGGAATTTCATCACTTCTGTCACACTGTGAACATGTTTTTGACCTAACTCATAAATAAAGTGGGGTTACACCTGAAGCTGCAACTAACTATTGTTGGCATTATATCAATTATTTTTGTAGTCATTATAAATTGTATAAAATGTTTCATATACCAAATTTTCACTTCTGGTTTTACAACAATATGTGCTGTTAGCAAAGAGCACTGGCAGAAAATGGAAATTATTCTGCAGTTATTTTGTTTCTGAAACAAAAGTGGCAAAAGTTCAACAGTTCCAGCTGCTAAAATGTGAATGTTTTCTGTTAATTTTTTTTTTTTTTTAAAGTCATCTGTGATAGTAAACTGAATTTCTTTAGTCAAAACAAAATATTGAAAGATACATCACTATGGGCACTCTTTTCATTTCTTTGCTATTTGGTGATAATCTATAAACAAAATGATGAATTGAGGAAATATCAGTAGAATACTAATGAATGAAAATATGTTGATGTTACAGGAGTGCTGGGTGTACAAGTCTTTGAAACGCAGGTACCAAACCCTGCAGTTTGTCTAGTGGCATAAATATCTAAAGACGGATTCTGATCCTCTTGGCTTATTTCCATTATTTGAATTCACTTGTTGGTACAGGGTCATTTTTCAAACAGCAGTTTTGACTTTGACATGAACTTAAGTGAACTTGACTTTACTTTGAAGTGAAGCACCTGTGAGACGTGGTATAAATAACCTGAAGTAGCTTAGTATCAATGTATCCTTGTATCCATCATTTAAAATATTGCACACCTCACTAAGCAGTATATTTTAATTTAATACACATATAACTTGTCCTCTGAGGCAAATAAGTAAAAAGCAATACGTCTGTCTAAACCATCATGAGGCTCGAACACAGGCTCCAGCAGTGTGTGGGGTTTACCTCTTCATGCTCAGGAGATCCATGGGCTGCCGAGCAGCGAGCCGCTCAAATTCATTCCTCATAATTTCTGTCTGAAGGGTGATAAGAAATAAAAATAAGAAATGTTATGTTATTTCTGTCACACTGGTCGAAGCCATGAGGAAGGTTTCAGACATCTGATTGTCACCTCAAAAGTAGAGAAGTCAGGTGTGGGCAGGTAGCTCAAGTAGTTCTTGGTTGGTCGATATCTTCTGGTCTCCTCCTCAACCAGCGCTGCAGCCTGGGGGACAAAAGGAAAATCAACTTTTTGCACAGGAAAAGCACCTCTAGATGAACCCAGTTTTCAATTGGTAATCAAACACTAGCATCTCATGTCAGTTCAGCGCCAATTCCCTCGTCCTGTAAATACTAGCTGACTAGCATTTCATGCTGTGGAAAACCTTCACTATTTCTACGGTGACATCAAAATATAGAGTAGAAAAAAAAACAAGCCTACTTTTGGTGTGATGATGCGTAATTGAGCACTTAATAAAGGTCTTTTAGTCTTGTTCTATGAGGTGATCAGTAGGACCCATGACTGCATTAATTTAACGAAACTTTCAATATTTGACTTTAGTTTAATGTGGTGAGAAGAATCAGCTTAGGTGCCACAAATAGAGACACACAGACATTTTGAGACGTCACAGCAGAAGAAACACCGGTGGAATTAATATCACTATTGATGGCTGCATTTCTTTTGGGTGCCAATGCTCTGGTAATGTGCATGGTGGCTGATAAGAACACCTTACAAGGACACATTAACTTACAAAAGCACAGCACAGACCGAAGCTGAGTCAATGGGGTAGCGGGAAAAATCTCATAATTGGGATATGAAAGTTGGAATTATGAGATGCGGCCTTCATCATTAATGTTATCAACTACAAGTAAGGATGTCTACTTAGAAAAGAGGTCTAGAGGCCCCTGAGCTCTGTGAGGACTGGCCCCTAACAAAAGCCAAATTACTGCATTAACAGTACTGTGTAAAAGTTTTAAGCACCTTAGAGTGTTCACAAAAAAATTGCATAACAGTTATTTTATATCTTCTGCATCAGTGTGTCGATGTTTGCATGCCATTAAAGAAAGTAACAGACCACTAAAAAAAGCCTAAGGTATTTTTAGGCATATAGCCTAAAGCATGATTAAACAACTGCACCAAACAGGTGTTAATGAAAAACAACATAACATGTAGTTTGAACCAAAACGATTAGCTGAAACAGAAACAGCTGTGTGTGGGGAATAAAGCCTGGTGAACTACAAAGGCGCAAGAGCAAACATAACAGCAAGACACAAAACGGCCATCCTGCATCAGCAAGGTTTCAGAACAGACAGATGTTTCCAGATTTGCTGTTCAAGCTCCTCTGATCCAAAACATAGAGTCATGAAGAATCCTGCTGCACTTAATATGACATTAAGTGATAAGTAGGAACAACTCATTGCATTATGTTAGAAAGCATCCTCACTTTACTTTAAGCGTCTTCAGCCTTTGCACAGTAAGCTATGAGCTAAAGTGAAACACTACCTGCATGCAATATATAATAAAATAAAAAACTAAACAAAAAAATATATTAATGATATATTATTATAGCAAATTAAAGCAAAATATAAGTAGTTTTAATCTGCTGAAATGTACTATTAGGTTCCACTGTGCCACTTCCATCTCTGGGTGTAGCATGGTTAGCTAAGCTAGCTAACATGCTGTTAGCGGTTAGCCGATTCCCGGTCTGATACCAAAGAGCTGCCGGTTAACTCACCGCTTCTCTCACACCTGCTGCATCATAACCTTGGTCAAAATATGGCAAAGCATCGACAAACACTTCACCAGCCACTGAAGCCGTTCCGGCCATTTTTAATCAGTCTGTACTGTTGATTTTATTTCTCTCTTAGCCGAAGCACTTCTCCAGGAAGCTAACTGACTAACGGCAGACCTTTCCGGTCTCGACCTTCAAAATAAAAGCCTTATGTGACACAGCTACTTTTTGCTAGTGACATCTAGTGGAGTGGAATAGTAGTGCTGCTCGATAAAGCCAAGCTGTAAAGTACAAAAATGCAAATGCAAGTACTCTGGTGAAGGTTTTTGCCCTTGATTGTTTTGTACATTTCTTTAATGTAACTTTTAAAAAAGAAAGTCAAAGAATGAAATGCTACAGTGCAACATTTTGATGTGATTATCAAGTTAAAAATAATCAGAATCAGATTTATTTGATTTTTTAAGTATGTTGACACACTCAAGCAATGGATACAATATAAAGATGTTATATACAATATACAGATTATGTAAAAGACAAGCAATATACATCAAGTGCAACTGTGAGTGCCTTATTAGTTTCCTAAAAATGAGCAGAGACTGATGATGATGATGATCACAAAAGGGAAATTAAATGTTAAAACTCAGTATGCAAAGACTAAAAGCATGTGTATTTAATTTTCTGGAGTCAAATTGTGAAATTCTCTGGGGAGTCATTTTAAATGTCAATTTAAATGTTGTTAATTTAATAATATGAGCTTGATGAGCAGTGTTTCTTTTCAGTCTTTTGTCATTGGTTGTGTATGTGTGTGTTTTGATGTTTGCATAGAAGCACACACACATACGCAAAACTTAGAATATAGGTCAGATAAGACCTGATGAAATGTTTATTATGTTGTTTCATGCTTTAATTTGTGTTATGTTCCACTATATTACATTGAAACTCCCCCCAATTTGTCAAGGGAGTCACATGACTCATGACACATGACTCCGTTGAGAACTCATGCACCGCAACACACCCATAGTGCTATGCCACCAGCGAGGACAAGGCCAGTGTTCACTCCAGGCTGCAATCTCTCCTCCTCAAACAGTCAGCTTTCATTATGCTAATTCATGGTGTTCTGATTGGCTATATTGTGTTGTGAGCAGGCTCTTGAACCATGTTCAGCTGTTAAACTCCTTCTTTCTTTTTCTGTCACACAGCTCTCACAATTCACTGAAGGATCTGCTCAAACTTCAACTACGAAGCTGATTATTATTTTTTTTGTTTATTCATACATTTCATACTTTTGATTTCAAATTACATCTATACACATAATCAAGCTATCATTTAATAGCAGGTGATGTAATTGCTGACATAAATTAAGCTCAGATGCAGGCCCGCGTGTTTGGTTATTTACGACGCCCCCCCCCCACCCTCTTCTCTCTCTCTCTCTGGTTATGGCACAAATTGGCGGAGCTCCTCTTGGGTCTCACAGTTTGTTTTCTGCTCTCCAAACCAATTGTTCGACAGAGGTTTTCTTGTGTATGTGTGTGTGTGTGTGTGTGTGTGTGTGTGTGTGTGTGTGTGTGTGTGTGTGTGTGTGTGAATGGGCTGAATGAGAGGCCAATTGTAAAGCGCTTTAGTTGAAAGCGTAAATGCGGTCCATTTTCCCGTCAGGTGAGACAGTTTGGTGACTGTCATTGTTGGAACAGATGAAGGGCTGCTTGCTCTTGTGTGTGCCTGAAAAACCTTCACAGCTGTTTGATTTATAAAACCTTTGTGAGGCTAATTAGTCCAACTCAAATCCATCCAGCTATGACACAAACAGAGCTGTGCTTCTTGGTTAAAAGCTAAAAACTGAGACAAAGGGTTTCCACCTGATTGATGTAAAATGTCTTGTCAGTACTGCTTTTTTCTAACTGTTGGTGATGTTCACACCTGGATACATGTCACTCATCTTAATGAGCTGTTGAGGTAACCATTATCTGTGAAACTACAATAGGTGTTAAAGCAGCAGCATGAAATCTTATTGACACAAAAACTAATGTTGACCTTCACAAACTTTTTTTAATGGGCAAATTACTCGTACTTTCTATTTTTTCCTCGAATTTATTTATTGTTGCAATGACTTTCCTGCACCATGACCATTAGTCTCCTCATTATATCACCTATAAAATAAGGACACTTAAAGACCCAGGGCTATAGTACCGTTGGCAATGTGGCGAGCACATAAAAAGACAAAAGAATGCAATGCAGCAGAGTGACAGAGTATTCTTAAGGAGTGATCACATGATTAATCATAAGCATAAAGAGAGACCCTGCAACTGCCCCATTGTTCATTTAATAATGTCAGTGATGTTGCATGTCAGTGATGTTGAGAGCCTATATAACTTCAATTTCAAGGTTCTTTTTGAAAAAACACATTCACAGCTACAGGACATTTCTTGTCTGTAATTTACCTTTAACTCAACGTTCGGCCACGCCAACACAGACCTGTAAACTCCACAGACCTTCTGATGCAGGATGAGAGAGGGAAGTGCGCAGATTTGGTTGTATCATCAAAAGGTGGCAAAACTAAACTTCTAGCCCAATATATAGCCAAGTCTGACCCATATACCTGCACATCTGGGCTGATTCCAGATGTTATCTATCCTCTAGGGTTGGCTGACAGCCAGGAAGATTCTTTGTGTGTGTGCCAGAATTGGTCCAGATGTGGAAGTAGTATCTGACAGCATTTAACAGCTGTGATGTATGTGGGCCAGACTCGAGCTAAGGAACGGTAGATAGATTGACAACAGATTTTCAAAGCAAAACAAAGACCTTCTGAGCTCCTTCATTCAGTCTTTTTCCCCAGGAGTAGTAGCCAAGTAGCCCACATCTGGTTTATTTTATTTTAAAATCATCATCATCTTCAGTGAATGCTTTTTAGTAATCACCTCTAGCGCAGTAGCTCCGAGAACCTGCACCTTGTGCCACAACTGGAATACAGTGAAGAGAACAAATTACACATAATAAATAAAATAGCTTATATTTAATCTATCACAAGGACTCCAGGGTAATGAGCACCTGAAAGACAACTCCATTTGTCATAACAGTGTATTCTATGGCAACTATTTTGGCAGATATTGCGAAGTTGTGTACTTTGTCCACCTCTGAGGGCAGCAGGATTGCATGCCCTGGCCCTGGTCCTGGTTGCTGGACAAATAAAAACTTGGTGTGTGCTCTGCCACATTGTAGGAACACTTCTTTATATATGGTTGCACTGATTTCATTCAATGTATATTATAGGGCCTGCACATATTTGTGGCCATATTTCGGATCTGTTTTTTATTTGTTGTTTATTTGTTATATGGTCTTTATTTTATTGGTATATTTATTTTTATTGACCTTTATGTGTCTGACCTCTTGTATTGCATTTGACACTGTCCTCTATTTAACAAAGACAGTCCATCAAAATTCTCTTCCATTCTCTCTAGCAATATTATAACCAATGCATTAGATGCTGATAATCTGGTACACCTTTCTAACTCTCTCTGTACCTCTACCTTATAAGGTTATGCTTCTTAGATGCAGAGTGAGGCATAGTCAATGTCATCAGTGATCTGATCACTGATGACATTTGTGCTTGTAAAAGATAATGAATGCATGAGAGTAGAATGTAAGTGCAGAGAGACAAAGTTCCAGGTGCATTATCAGCAAATAAAGGACCTGATGACCAAGTTAAAAATGCAAGAACCATGTATTTTTCTGTTTTAATACAGTCTAATAAGCACAAACTTACAGCTCTTCTATTGATTGTCTTATAAACCCTGTCAGTGTGGATCCTCTCCTGGTGAATGTTTGAGTTTTTTTTTTTTTTTTTCTTTTTCATAAATAAGGTAAATGGAATAAGATCAAAGATCATTGAGGTTCCCACTTATTTTATTCATGCCCTTTATCCCAACCATACCTCTCTTTCTCATTTCACACAAATCATCCCTAAATGAACTTTGGAACATTAGGTCTCACCTCAAATGCTCATCTAGTCCTGTGGATATTATTCCCCCTTAATGTGTCCACAGTGTCATGTTGATCATGTTTCACCCCCCTCCCTAGGACCTTTTGGGGTGCCCCAGGGCTCCATTTGGGGACCAATTCTTTTGTCTTTTTATGTGCTCCCACTGGGGGAAATAAGTTATTGCATGTCTACCATTTTTATGATATACGCAGATATATGTCCCAATAAAGCCTGAAACCCCACCAGCTTGTCCACCATAAAAGCCTAGTCTCGTGTCTCATTGACATTAAAAACTGGATTTCTGCTAACTACCTTCAGTGAGGTCTTTATCATTGGACCTGACAGTGAGGATAAAAATTTAAAATCCTCACTTGGCCCTTTTCTAACAAAATGTCTGTTAGAAACTTAGGTGTCTTATTTCATTCCAACCTTAATTTTTAGATTCGTGTCAGTAAGACAGTCCAATCCTGCTTCTATCATTTAAGGAACATTGCTAAAATCTGTTCATGTCTGAGCGATAGTGACACAGAAACCATCGTACATGCTCTCATTTCTTCCCGTTTAGATTAGGAGATTCCATTTAGCAGAATGGTCTCCTACATGGCACAAATTAAGAATTCATAGACTTCAAGTAATACAGACTACAAAGTCTTAAGATAAGATTCTATTTCCGAATTATTTTAAGGAATTAATATGATATATGAATTTATATGATATAATAGTATATATAATATTAACTAATATTCTGTACTACTACTATTAGTATTATTATCATAGCTAGCTAGCTGTACCTAATAAACCGCCAACTGAATGTAAGCAAACAAGCAATTAAACAAAGTCGCGTCCTCCTCTACGTCACGCCGTAATGCTACGTAGTCCTGGTTCGAGAAGTTACGCAGGACGTGCAGCGGTTCAAAGAGGAAGGAAGATGGCGGACAACAAAGACGAGGAGGATATGAAACCGTCTACTAATCCGGAATCAGTGCCTTCAGCACAAGATAACGAACAACCAGAGACTAAAGTGGAAAATGCTTTGATGGTCGTAGAAGCGAATACAAAGGGTGGCGAAGAAACAGACTCACATGAGAACACTAACGAGGCACCGACACCCACCAGCGACGGAGGGGACGTTAGCAGCGGCGGAGCTGCTACCGCGGGAGGGGAAGCCAACGGTAGCGCTAGCAACGCCGTCAGC